AATAAAAAAAAAACACTTGTAATATGTACAAGACCCAAGGTTTGATGGCTGCAATGAAAAACAAATCATATTTGCCCTCTCTTTTTCTCAGATAGTAATGCAAGCTGCAACTCACAATATGTTCCTTGTTTATTCATAACTTTCTCCTGCTTTAAATACATACTGGTTTTCTTTTCCTTTTCTAAATTATTGTTTCAAAAATAAGACCGTATTTCAGTTTGTATCATCTTGTTTCACTCCCTTACAACACATCATGAAAATCACCTCCCAAGTTAACTGTTATAAGCCGAACTCATTCCTTATAACTGGAAAACACCCCAGGATATCTGCAAGCATGTTTCCAGTCATTGACACTTTGAATAATGATTCAATACATAGCCTTAAACATATGCCCTTAAGCAGCAGTTGAATGGATTATGCTAAACCTCTACTAGGGATTGACATAAAATTCCCCAGGCTTTTCCTCTTTTAGCAATGTCCAAAATTCAGAATAACTTTATCAATTCTCCAAACATAAGCATCCTCTACCCTATTGTCAATCATGCTTCTCTCCTTACTCCTAGTTACTATGAGATGAAGTCCAAATTTATCAGCATGCTTCAAAATCTTCTCTATGGAAGGACTTCCTGAGACTTTTCCATCCTCGATGCCTTTTATGTGAGAAATTTTTATGTGGCCCTCAGTATATAGGTCTATGAAATGGTTTTATGAAGCAAGCATCTACCAAAAATAAGTCATAAAGAAATTTGTTTTAAAATAATTTTTCAGTGTATACAGAATCTTATTGTTTAAAAAAGATGAAAAAAATTGCAAACTAATGAGATGGAGGTGTTTACTTTTACATGAAGGAGTAGATGCTGCTGGAACATTTGATACTGAAGGATACAGAGTATTTTCAACTTCTCCACGTTAATCAGTATTTTGATATTTTTGCAATCAATGCTGAGAATTCTGCTTCACATAAATACTTCCTGCAAAATGAGAGAAGTATGTTAGAACCATTTCAGAAATTGTTGAGATTTCTGTCCTAACTGCAAGCCAAAATTCATTTAATGGCAGTTTATGATAGTCAAGTCAGTGACTCCACGGCAAGTTTTAAAATCAGATATTCTAACACCATACAATCCGTAGATGACACTAGCATGTGGATGCTGGGGGAGAGGGGTAAAAGACGTATTTAAACTCTTTGTTTTCAGTCATTAAACCTTGGGTTTTTAACGAGCAGAAACCCACATGTGCACTGAGGTTGGTAAAAATAGAATCCGGAATCTGAGTTGAGCGTTTCAGGCCAACCCATTGGAAATGCATAGTGTGGCAGTGCAGAGCTCATGTGTCAGAGCCACAGCAGCAGGGAAGTCATGTCATGCCACACAGGACTGTGCTACCACAAACACCCTGGATTCATCTGTTGTTTGGCTGTAAATTAATTTTTGGTCTTCGTGCATTCAGAAACCTTTTACTGCCGCCAGAGTTTTAGGAGCTCTGCACTCAAGTTACATGGCCTCAGAGCCACCCATGGTCTAAGAGATAGAGATGCAGGAGAAGATTAACACAACGTCCTAAACTTGTTTCTGTTTAGTCACCATCTGTTCCCTTCTCTGAACACCCACGTATTAAACTCGGAAGAATGAGCAGGTTGCCATTTCCCCAGCAGAGCCCTATAGCCTCCTCTGTCCAACCTCAGTCTATCTTAGCCCAGCATTCCTTCTGTCTTAGTTAGGGTGAATCACCAGGACCCAAATAACCTACAGGAGAAAGGGTTTATTTGGCTTATATATCCCAAGTCAATATCCAATGAGGGAAGCCAAGGCAGGAACTCAAACTGGGGAAGAAACTTGATGCAGAGGCCATGGAGGTGTGCTGCTAACTGGCTTGCTTCCCCTGACTTGCTCAGCCTGCTTTCTTATAGAACCCAGGACCACCAACCCAGGGGTGGCCCCACCCACAATGAACTGAGCTTTCTGCCATCAGTCACTGATTAAGTAAATGTCCTACATGCTTGCCTACAGCCCCATCTTAGGGGGGCATTTTCTCAATTGAGGTTCCCTCCTCTCAGGTGACTACAGCTCGTGTCAAGGTGACATAAAACTATCCAGCACAGCTTCTATGGAGACTTTGCTAATGACCCCCCTCCCCAAAGTTATTATAACCTCTTCTGTACTTACATAGTTCTTGGTGCAGTTCTTTAATAAAAATCTTTTATTCAACGTGTTTTTAGGGAGCTGGAGAATGGTTCAGAGTTTAAGAAGACTTGCTGCTCTGGCAGAGGATTGGAGTTTGGTTCCCAGAACCTACAGGGGCAGTTCACAGCCACCTCCTACTCCAGCTATAGGGAACTCAGGGTCCTCTTCTGTCCTCTGTGGGTATGCATTTATACACACACATATGCATGCACATACACAGGCACACATGCACGCACGTGCGTACATACACAGAGAGAGGGAGAGAGAAAGAGAGAGAGAGACAGAGACAGAGACAGAGAGACAGAGAGAGGCACGGAGAGGGAGAGACAGAGACACAGAAAATAAATCTTAAAAAACAAGTACTGACGGGAAACTGGCTTACCCCTCACTCAGTTCCTTCTAGTGCCATCATCTTACATTATCTTTCCACATTTGCCAAAGCTGAGAAGCCAGCACTGGTTGGCCATTGTTCACTAAGCTCCAGGGTTTAAGAAACAATTGTGCTTTTTCTATCAACATCCTCCTTGTGTTCCAGGCTCTTTGGTCCCATTGATGATGCCCACTGTCTTCAGTATCATTTGCCCCGGGTTTTAGTTATTTCATTCAGAGGACATATCTGATGCTTATTTCCCCAACTCAACTGGAACCAAAGTCTAAGTTTTTTCAAAATTGTTTCATTATGGTTATTGCTATTTTGAGATAGTGTTTTCCTGCTACTTCAGACTGGCCTTGAACTCATGAAGCCCAGGCTTGCTGAGAACCTGCAATCCTTCTGGCTTAGCCTCCTGGATGCAAGGTTGCCGGCTTATACTACCACACCCAGCTCTAAAGGTTAGTTTTAAATAAAGCAAGGAGGAAAATATTTTTTCTTATTTAAAAAGCAGGTATTTTTGTATTTCAATGAAAATATTTGTCCGAAAATAAAAGAAACACCTCTCCTTTGGAAAATGCCCCTGGCATAGCTTGATTTTAATTTAATTATCACAGTTCTTTCAATGTTACCCAGAGGATACTGTAAACTTAATAACCGTATTATAGGTAACATATGCCCTGCATATGTACAATTCCCCAACCCCTGCTTTCTTTTTCTCTTCATATAATTTTCTCCTACAGCAAAATCGGATGGTGAACTGCAGAAATGAATCTGCTAAGAAATCCTCCCTCTCTGAGAAAATGGTTTACAAACATAAATAAACTTGATACTGAGTCACACTAACATATTCTCCAGTCTGTACAAGTCAGGGAGGGAGGGAGGGAGGGAGGGAAGAAATACAGAATAAAGAAAGGTAAAAAGCCCAGAGGCAAAACATAGAAGAAATGAAACAGGTTAATTTACGTTAGAAAAGCTGGCTAAAAACAAGCCAAGCTAAGGCTGGGCACTCATAAGTAAGAATGAGTCTCTGCATGTTTATTTGGGAGCTGGGTGGCGGGCCCCCAAGAATAAGAAAAAAAGGTGAAAAGCGAAGGTGTTGGGTATCTTTGGGAGGAAACTGCTTACAGAGGCCTCCAAGAATGTCAGTAAAGTCTCTCTGTGTCTTTCTCTTCTGGCGGAGACTTGTGGAGGTGTTTGAGACAGGCCTGGAGCTTGTTTGGTAGCCCAGGCTGGTCTCAGGATTGTTTCTTCCCAGCCTTGAGGGTGCTTGGGATTACAGGGTGCATCATAACGTACATGTGGATATCACGTGCCCCTCTGTACCTGGCTTATTTCACTTAACATAATCTGTTATCATACATGACAGAACCTCATTCTTTTTAAAAACTGTTTTCCTTTAGACTTTGTACTTATGTGTATGAATGCTTTGCCTGTATGTGTGTGTGTGTGTGTGTGTGTGTGTGTGTGTGTGTGTGTGTGTGTACCATGCACATACCTGGTGCTCTGGGCATTTTATCTTCCAGAACTGGAGTTAAACATGGTTGTGAGATATCTGGATGCTGGGAACTGAACCTGGAGCCTCTGTAAGAGCAACAGGTGCTCTTAGCCACTGATCCATCTCTATAGGCCTTAGATCTCCCCTTTAAAAGACCTACCTATTTTATTCTATGTGCATGAATGCTTTCCCTGCCCTGTATGCATGTGCACCGTGCTCATGCCTGGTACCTGAAGAGATCAGAAGATGTCAGATCCCCTAGAACTAGAGTGACAGATGGTTGTGGGCTGCCATTTGTGTACTGGGAATTGAACCCAGATCCTCAGCAAGAGCAACAAATGCTCTTAAGCACTGAGCCATCTCTCCAGCCCCAAGGATCTCATTCTTTTTTAATGACTGGGTATTATTCCATTGGGTGTGTCTATGTATTTACCAATTTTCTCTATTGACTTATCCACTGATGGACACTCAGATTGACTCCACAGCGGTGAGGAGTACTGAAAAAACAAAACAAAACCGAGAATGTGCTCGTCTCTCTGACATGCTAATGTCATTTTTCCTATCCCCAGCAGAATTGTCAGATCATATTATAGCTCTGTCTGTAATTTTTTGAGCAAACTCTGCGCTGCTTTCCATAATGGCTCTACTAATTCATACTCCCAGGGACAGCAAAGTAGAGTTCTGCCTTCTCCATGTGCAAAAAGAAGTCTTTGTGCTGCACACACGTCTGCACACACAGGAAGGAGAGGAGAGAGGCCAGTGCTCTGCAAACCTGAGAGCTGTGGTTATCTAGGAGTACAGACTATGAGAGATTCTGTTGACCTTTCACACGGAGTCTACCTATGTCCTAATACTCGTGTTTCTGTCTTAGTGATCTCAAAGCTCCTTCAATAAAATGTCATGCCATTTTCACATTGCTATTTAACCCAAACCCTGTTTTCCTCCCCAGTGGCCAGGTTTTATCTGCTCTTCCCAGAACCTCTAGGCAAGTTCAAGTTCTTCAGAATGTTACTACAACCTATGAGGTAATGTCCTCTAACTTACATTTACATTAGCTTTATTTTTTTATTTTTTATTTTCGGTCTGTGTGCATTGTAAAGAGTGTTCCCCCTCTAGTCTATCTACATGTATGTAGCCATAACCACATGACCTTTTGCTTCCAGAATCAAGCCTCTAGCTGTGTGATTAGCTTTTCAGCCGCTTTCATGGTATGGACTCGAAGCTGTAAGCGTGTAAGCACAAAGTTGTTCAAAGGTATCAGAAGTTTGACAGTGTTTTGCTTGTAGAACAGTGGTTCTTAGCCACGGAGTGGACACATAAGCTTTTATTAAAATGTCTTCTTCCTGGATTCCATCTTCCCAGGAAGTCTGAGGTGTGGAAGCCTGGCAGACAGTGGAGAATGAATGAATGAATGTGTTTGTTAGTGTTCTCTAAGAGATAGACGTCAGATCAGTTTGGAGGCGCAAGCAGTAGGGAGTGCTTGCTAAGGATGAAGAGGAGGGAGGGAACTGGAGGCAGTGGAGGTACCTTAACTGGGGCAGGGGTGAAGGATAGGGGGTGGGGGAGGGTGGGGAGGTGGGGGGGGTGGGCTGGGGTAGAGGATGACTCTGCAGGAAGGCAGGTCCTGATGGTCCTGATGGTTCTCAGACTGCAAAGCAGTTCCCATGTCAGGCAGGGGCAGCTGCGAGTACTTCTTTAGCAAAATCCTTTGTTACAAGAATCCTCTGGGAGAAATGGTTCTGCATGAAAACCCTCACAGTGTGCAGATGGTGTGAGTACCATGGGCAGCGTGGCCTCAGCCTGAGGGGAATCACACTGCTGGCCACCAGGGATCACCTGTACCTCCGGCAGGAGCAGAACTGAGTGGGACATGTTCAAGGCTTTTTCACAAGATAAAAATGAAATATCTCCAAAGAGAGGGTAAAAAAAAATCTCAAGCCGGGCGGTGGTGGTGCACGCCTTTAATCCCAGCACTAGGGAGGCAGAGGCAGGCGGATCTCTTTGAGTTGGAGGTCTACAGAGGGAGCTCCAGGACAGCCTCCAAAACAATACAGAGAAACCCTGTCTGGAAAAACCAAAAAAAAAAAAAATCTCAAACTTTATTTCACTTTATTCTGTTAACTTATCCTTTAGTTTCACTGTTTAGTTAGCTTACAAAACAGCTGAGTTTCCTTGTGACATTTTCATACATGGTTCACAGTACTGTGATCTCATTTTAGACAAACTAGCTATTATCCTTAATTGGCTCATATTTACAAAGAAAATAATAACATCTGCCTGGTTGATATCAAAGTGGTATTCTAATGAACAAAGGAAATGAGTCTGAAAGCACTTTGGAGAAGTGCTATAAAATGAGAAAAATGTAAATACTCAGAGGCATTAGATGAAAGAAAGAGACACTAACGTGATGATAATATCAAACACATGCAATCTTTTTTTCTTTTCTTTTTTTTTTTAAGACAGGATTTTCCCTGTGTAGCTTTTTAGACCAGGTGACCTCCAACTGACAGGGACCCACCTGCCTCTGCCTCTGCCTCCTGAGTGATGGGATTGAAGGTGTGTGCCACCACCACCCAACTGAAACACATGGAATCTTTATTAAGCAAAATCAATGTGTAATCAAACCGGAGAGAATTTCATTTTTCTTTTAAACACCTGAAGTATATATCCAGCTCCTCAGCAGCGTCTGGGGTGTTCCAGGGCCTATTTGGAAGCTAGAATGACAGTGAATAAAAAGCACTTCCTAAGCCGGGCGGTGGTGGCACATGCCTTTAATCCCAGCACTCGGGAGGCAGAGGCAGGCGGATCTCTGTGAGTTAGAGGCCAAGCTGGACCGACAGCCTCCAAAACAATACAGAGAAACCCTGTCTCGTAAAAACCAAAAAAAAAAAAAAAAAAAAAAAAAAGCACTTCCTGCCAGTTGGGTGTTGATAGTCCTGTGTGTGAAGTGGAGACTGTGGCTGAGACGTGTCCTTGTCACAGCCCTTTTAGAGACGTGGCTTTCACGGGCCTAGCTACAGATGCAAAGCGTGTGAACAATTCCGCATTCAATTTACCAATTTCCCCCTGGAAACTGCAGGTCGTTCTCTGGCAGCCAGTGACCGCTGAATTCATTGAAAAGAAAAAAGAAGTCCATTTTTTTGTGAACGCGTCAGATGTGGACAGTGTGAAAGCCCATTTAAATGTGAGCAGAATTCCATTTAGGTGGGTTTCCTTTGCTATGTCCTTTCAACAGCTGTGATAAATGTGCGTTTGACTAAGAAATGGTATAGCTGCTTTTGTGGGAAATTGAGTGTATTAAAAATGGTGGCGTGGTTGGTAGTCTCTGAGAGACTGGGGACAAGACCTAAGACCCAACTCAGTGACAAGTGGTTTAACCACTTATCACTTCAGTCCTTTGTCTGAATTGGGACTTGGGGGTCTTCAGAACCTCCCCTTCATTCTCTAGTCCTAGACCTAATGAGCAGAACTCATTCACTGCGGGAATTTGTCTCCTTATTTCAATAAAAAAAAAAAAAAGAAAAAACTGACTAAAGAAATCCGGGGAAAGAAGGAAAGTGTACTAGTCAGGGCTCTCTGGAGGAACAGAACTGACAGAATGAACATACATGCATGCATGCATACATACATACATGCATGCATACATACATACATATATACATACATGCGATGGTGGGCATACATGAAAAGAATTTTTTATTTACTTTCATATGCATAGGTGTTTTTCTTGAATATATATCTGTGCGCCATGTGTGTTCCTGGTACCCACAGAGTAGATAAGAGGATTATCAGAGCCCCTAGAACAGACATTCTTCAGTATACTTGGGAGTCCTGAAGACATAGGCGCTAACACCTGTGAGGAAACGCCTCAGCAGTGAGAAGGACGAACTTGTCAGTGAGAGTGTGGGCGAGGAGGCAGAAAGCAAGAGCTCCCTTCTCCCGTGTCGTTTACATAGCCTGCCGCCAGGAAGTGCAGCCCAGACTGGGGAGGGGGGTGTCTTCTGCCTCAAATGATCCAGACTTAGGACCAGTCTTCCTACCTCACCTGATCCAGTTAACCCAAACTTCCTCACAGACAGGCCCAGCTGCTTCGGTTTTTAGCTAATGCCAGATTCAGTCAAGTTGACTAGCAAGAATAGCCATCACAGGAGGGTTTGTTATTGCACATAGTCCATTATGGCAGGGAAAGCATGGTGGCAGGAGCCAGTCAGACTGCATCTGAGGTCACACTGTGCAGTCATAGAGCATCTGGGGTCATATGAGAACTGCCCCCAAATTGTTCATCCCAGCTGACAGATAATTCTGGCTAAGTACTTGCCTAATTAGTAGAGTAAACAAACTAATAGCCTCAATTTTATCTTGCCCCACATTTTGATTTGTAAAAATTTGATCATCTTTCATCATGCAGAACATCTGGGATACATCAGTGAAACACAAGAAAGAAAGGCAGTCTTCCTTTCCTGTGTCTTCACTGAAAACTGAGATGTTCTGAATTAAAGCGGGTGTTCATCAATCTCTATATCCTAGTCAGAGTTCTGTTGTTGTGATAAAACCAAGACCAAAAGCAGCTTGGGAAGGAAAAGGTTTATTTAATCTTACATATTATAGTTCATCATTGAGGGACATTGAGGCAAGAACCCAAGGTGGGAGTTTCAATCAGAAACCACGGGAGAGTGCTGCTTACTGGCTTACTCTCAGGCTCACATTCAGCTGCCTTTGTTAAACAGCCCTGGACCATCAGCCTAGGGAATGCGCCACCCATAGTGGGCTGGGCCTTCCTGCCTCAACCAACAATCCAGAAAATGCCCCCACAGACTTCCCACAAGCCTGCCTGGTGAACGCAGTTCTTCATTGGAGGCTCCCTCTGCCCAGGTGTATCCAGTTGACAACCAAGATGGCCATCATGGCTTTCCTACAAAACACACTGCAGAATCACAGTCAAGAAATAAATAGATTTTGGTAGAGGAGGGTAAGATTGGGTAGTCCTGAAGATGTGCCTCACACGCTCTTCCCAGTGTCCATAGGGCTCTGTTAAAGACGTTTGTGGAGTCATCTTGTCTCCATATACGGTTGTGTTGTTTTACTTGATGAAGTGATCATGAGACTCGCTGGCAACTTTCCCCCAAGCTCACATACTGTGCCTGCAGTGGGCCACGTGGGAAAGCCATCACTGTGCCTGGAAACCACTCACCTTCTGCTTCATCATCAGCATCCTGATGAAGGATGTGGAGGACCTAATTCGGCAGCAGACCTCCAATGACACCGTCAGCCCCCGAGCCTCCTCATCATACTACGAGCAGTATCACTCGCTAAATGAAGTAAGTCACCATACCATTCCTCAAAGGTTCTGTTTTCACTAACCAGCATTGCCATTTCAACCACGAGGAATGATCAAAGAATCGTAACCAACCGAGGGTTTTGTTTGTTTGTTTTTTAAATCACACTTACGTTGATTAATGGTGGTAATTCATCCCTTGCTGATATCTCCTTGGGAAGGTTGCCCCGTCTATTTGATAAACTGGCTCTACAATAGCATGTGTATCTGTGGCTCAGAGTATCTCACACTTCTAGGGATGATGCTGAAGAAAATACTGATTGCTAAGGACAACAGAAAAAAAGAATAGAACTGTTACACTACATTTTATTCTTCTGAGTAGAAACCTTTAAACCATAATGTCTTTGACTGGGTGCTTAAACATTAGCAGGGATCACATCTAAGCTCGGGTAATAAGACTCAGTTATATATTTCATCTTTGAAATCATCTTCTTCTTTCCAGGTGGTTAATCCAGAGCTCAGTCTGCTTCTAGATCCTATGTGCTTGCCTGGTTGATGCAGGCATTACATCTTTACACCCCCACATTATTTCTCTTTAGGTCTTAAATATATCTAGTCTACTTCAGACACTTCTTCCTAACATCTGTCACCTGCAGTGTGTGACAAACTTGATGCAGAGAGGCTAGGCAGGAGTGGCTTGAAAAGCAGATGAATGTGACAATGTGACACCTCTGTGTTGAGTTTGATGGGCAAAGGGGGATGCCTTAACCAGGAGGATGTCAAAACATGCTGTTTAATTATTTTATTCCAGAAAATTATGTTGTCTTACCATATTCCCATGAAAGACTTGGAATGCCAAACAAACAACTCCATGACTGCATTCATTTGCCAGGGATTCCATAACAGAATGACACAGACTGTGTAGAAGTTTGCTTGATCATATTTCTGGAGGCAAGAAACTTAAAACCAAAGTGTTGATGGTCTTTGGTTTCTTCTGAGGCGTCTTTCTTTGGTCTATAGACAGTTGTTTCCTTGTCCTCAAATGGTGTTCTAGTTTTCTTTCTACTGCTGTGATAAGCACCATGACCAAAAACAACTCAGAGAGAAAAGGGTTTATTTGGTTTGTGTGTCCTGGGTCTCAGTTCATCATGTAAGGAAGTCAGGGCAGGAACATAAGGCAGGAAACTGGAGGCAGGAACTGAGCCATGGAGGAGTGCTGCTTTCTGGATTATTCTCTATGGCTTACTTGGTCTGCTTTCTTTGCTACCAAGAACCACTTACCTACCTGGGGGTATCACTACCCCCACTGTGCTGGACTCTCCAATCGCAGTTCATAATCAAGAAAATGTCCCACATACATGCCTACAGACAATTGACGGAGGCATTTGTCAATTAAGGTTCCTCTTCCCAGATAAATCTAGCTTATGACAAGTTGACAAAAACCCAACCAGGACATTTGACTCCTTCTGTCCTTACGTCTCCTTTTAAGGACCCTGGTCAGATGGGTCAGTGCCTCCTTTGAACTTCAGCATGGTCACATTCTATGGTCCTGAGCATCCAGGCTTCAACATACCAGTTGGGGAAATATACTGTACTATCACCACGCTATTTCAGAAAGCATTTTAAATCTCTTCTCTCCCTACTTTAAATCCTTTCTAAGAGGCTCATGGGAAATGTGGTTTTACTCTCAAGAAATTCTTTTATCTCTTCCCTTCTTCTTCTCCTTCCAATAACCTGAACATGCCCTCCACTCAAGATGGTCTATTAACTTCATCAGTGATACTGACTCCATATAACTCTGCTAGAGGAAGTCTGCTGAGCCACCAGTGCTACAATATTAGCTAATCCATGGACTAGCTTCCTTCGGTGTATTCATCCCAGATAACTAACACAGGAAATAGAATTCTATTGAAAAACCCTTCGGTGGTTAAGTCTCCCGACACAATAGAAACCGACAGTGATGGAACTTGATGACAGACATCTCAGGAGCATCTTTGCCCCCACTGTCGGTACAAGAACTCACACATGCTCTTGCTGATTATGCCACCACAAGAGAACCTGAGCTAAATGACACTCCAGTCGTCATCAGTCAGGACGGCTGTGTGAAATCATCACCAGGAAAGGTCTCAGAGATAAAAACCAAAGAGTTGAACATCATGAGTTCAGAAGGTGCAAGAGTATCTGGGAAGTTGGTCTGTATTAAGGAGTGACCAAGTTTGGTCCCAGCTACCCCAAATCAGATGGTAATTCAACACCTGCTTTAAAGGAGTTGCTTTAAAGCCCCAGAAACTATTTCTTCCTCCCACTGTAATTTTCAGAGTCTCAGATTCTGCGGGAATTCTGGGCTGAAGAGGACCCAGAATGAAACCTCATGGTGGAGCTGTGTTCTTCGGCTTACCCCCATATTTGCCCGTTGCCATCACAACAATCTCATTAGGTTTGTGTGGGGAAACAATAATGTTGACATCTTTCCTGAGTAAAAATGCTGCCCAGGTTGCCTTGGTCCTAAAAAGTGAATTTGTAGATGTGTGTGTGCTCACAAGTGTGTGCAAGCATGTGTGTGCAAGTGTCTGTGTATATACACATGCCCATGCATGTGCATGTATTTGGAAGCCAGAGGTCTACATTTGTTATCATCTTCTTTTGTTTTCCACACTATTTTTTGAGACATAATCTCTGAACTCATAGCCCACTGCCTCAGCTAGACTGACTGGCCAGAGAGCTTCAAGGATCTGCCTGACTCTGTCCCTCCCAACAAACCCCTCCTTCCACAGTGTTAGTATTACACGTGGATACTGTAGTGCCCAAGTTTTATACGGGTGCTAGGGATCTGAATTCAGGTCCTCAAGCTTGCTCAGCAACCACTGTAGCAACAGAAATCCCCAGTCCTGAATTTGTTTTTTAAGCCTCATAATGCTAGCTCTAGGATGCCTAGTAAGAAGACCCCACACAGAGTTTCAATGTGATAAGCCTCTAAAAGGAACTCTGGAATGGGGCATGGTGGCTCAAGACCATAACCTTAGTACTCAGAAGACTGAGATGGGGAGATCATAAGTTCAAGGCCACCCTGGGTTACAGAATGAGATCCCATCTCAAAAGACAAAACAACTAAAAGTCCAAGACATAGATCAGTTGCAGAGTGTGTCTATCACATACAAGGCCCTGTGTTTGATCACCAGCAGCAGAAAATGAATAAACAATAATATCTGGGCTGGAGAGGTAGCTTAGCAGTTAAGAGCACTGGCTTCTCTTCCATCTGACCTGGTTTCAATTCCAGCACCCACATAGTGGCTCTGTAATGCCCTCCTTCTGGCCTCCACCAGCATCCAAGTGGTGCACAGAGATAACATAAAATTAATAAAAGCCAATAATTTCCAAGACCACATTTTAAAGATTAACTCTTTGTCCTATGCTTCTTAGAGTCAGTTCACTTTCCCCCTGATACTTAGAACTCAGCAAAACTGTGGTTTTATTTCTTTTTGGCAGAGGAAACATCCCATCTCAAGTGTTTTCAGTTCTCCCCTATACAGAAAATGGAGAGGAGTCTCCTGTCTGCAAGGAAGCTGCCTACTTCCTATGATCAGGGATGTCCTGTGAACTTGTCCTGTGACTAACCTGTGGTTTCTCTTCTCATAGATCTATTCCTGGATAGATGTTATAACAGAACGATATCCTGACATCCTCCAAAAAATCTACATTGGCTCATCCTATGAGAAGTACCCACTTTATGTTTTAAAGGTATGCAAGGAGAGTTGCTTAGAGGGGGATATTAAGTATGCAGTGGTGTTTGCTATAGCTTAGTTCTATTCTTTGAGCTCTGGAAATACTTTTATTTCAGGTGAATCTTAACTTTAATATCCTGCTACTTAGGAAGAAGTAGCCTTTATTTGTTCCTTGAGTGAAAAACACCTCTAGAATCAAACTCACCTGTGTTCGTGTTACATTAGACAACCAGATAAGCCACTTTCTGTGGCTTTCAGTGGTCACACTCATGAAATGATGGGAGTAGTTTGGGCTACTCCTCAAGTCCTTGTTTTATTTTGATGAGCACCACCTCAGATTGGCTAGGAGAGATTGTGTATCTTGAGGTTTTCTTGAACAAACAGTAGCCCAACTTTTGAAACCAAAGTAGGATCTGAACCACCCTCCAGTTGAACACCGGGAGCAGGGCAATGCTTCAGCAATTGCCTCGGTCAGCACACATGTGATGATGTACTTCCAGTTGCAGAATTTTGTGGAAGAGCATTTGATTTTTAAAAATTAGTTAAGTACAAAAATAATTTCAGGATTGTAGTGCAAATTCTAATTGGTCTTAATAATAAAAACCCAGAATCAGATACCAGGGTAAAAGCTGAAACATTAAGCAGACAAAGGAACAAGCCAGAGATACCTCTTAACCTCACCAGCTTCTCAGCTGGAAAGGGGTAAGCTCCTGTCTCCACCCTGCCTATCACTTCCTCTCTCTACCCAGTCATATCATTTCCTGTTTCCTCCTCCCAGGTGCTGGGATTAAAGGTGTGTGCCACCACTGCCTGACCTCTATGGTTAACTAGTGGCTAGCTCCACATTCTGATCTCCAGACAAGCTTTATTCGTTAGAGCACAAACGAAATACCACCATGCAGGATATGTAAATAAGGGAGAAGAGTTATAAAAATTAACAAATACGTAGAGTAAGCAAAACAAGAGGGTTAAATGTTGCCATCTATACCTTTCTAGGAGGGCTTCTTTTCAACCCTGTAGTTACCAATATGCAAATAAAGGAGAGAGTAAAACGCCCTGGTTGAGGTGTCCTCTTTGAATAAACTATGTGTTTTAGGGAAGATAGTGAATACTAGAAAAGCCATAGGCATCATGACCATGACAACTTTTACTGGTTACACTTTCCAATTCCATAGCTCTGTTTTCTCCCACACTCTCTCCCTTAAAAAAAATTTAAGGAAATGCTCTGCAGAAATGTAATTAATAGAAAAATGCGCTTGCTTTGGTGGCACAGAATTGGTGCATAATCACTTGTAATAGGTAAGCGTTTGTAGTTGCTCAAAGACTACTTTGAATTAGGATAGCTCGGGTTCCATCTGTCCTGCCCAGGAACTTCCAGTGCAGACTCGAGGCAGAGATGAGACATACCAGTTCCTTTAGCAATTCAGTTAGTTAATAGGTTAGTTCCATGGGAACCGTCCTGGCGTGCCTACCCATGACCACTTTCTTGTTTTGTGTGCATCTTGCAACCAATGTCTGGAAGCTGAATGAACACATGGGGAAATCATCCATCTTGGTTGGTTGCATCATGTTTTACTTAACTGAGAATGTGCACCCAGTGTGTCTGCAGACCCACAATGTTGTCAGTGTTGAACCAACAATTTATCCCTAAAGCTGCAGTGTGAAAATATGCATGAATGAATGAATGAAAGATCAAGTAAGGCAACTAATCTGGACAAGTAAGGACTTACTTTGACATTGACTAGATGGAATCATCCACAGCTGTTTGATTAGATGATTTGAATGTCAGTGGCCATTTCTCTTTTTCCTTTATTTAGATATTGTATTAGGAAAGGCACCTTAGTTAGGGTTTCTATTGCTATGATGAAACACCATGACCAAAAATAAGTTGGGGAGGAAAGGGTTTATTTGGCTTACACTTCATATTTCTGTTCATCATCAAAGGAAATCAGGAGAGGAACTCTAACAGGATGGGAACCTGGAGGCAGGAGCTGATGCAGAGGTCATGGAAGGGAGCTTACTGGCTTGCTTCCTATGTCTTATTCAAACTGCTTTCTTATAGAACCAGGACCACCATCCCAGGGATGGCACCTCCACCATCAATCACTAATTAAGAAAATGCCTTGCAGTTAGATCTTATGGAGACATTTTCTCAATTCTCCTTCCTTTCAGATAACTTTAGTTTGTGTGTCAGGTTGACGTAAGACTAGCCAGCACAGAAACCTTCCCAGGATAAAGCAAATGATAATATTCACTTGCTTTTCTCCTTGTTTTTTGTTACTCTACGTATTTGTTTGAATTTATATTTCTTCTCCATGTCCCGATTTATTTTTGTAACTAATTTTAAGGACTCAAATAAATGTATGGGTCTGTGTCATTGACTCAGTGGTAAAGAGCACTGACTTCCCTCTCATGTGACCCAGATTCCATCCACAGCACCCACACAGTGGCTCATATCCATCTGAAACCCCTATCCCAGGGGATTCAAGATCCTCTTTTGGCCTCTGATAATACCAGGCACACACATGGAACATACACACATGCAGGAAAAAACCACACGCATAACATAAAAATAAGGAAAAACATTTTAAATCAATAAGTTATGACTGATTTTGGAAATATTCTTGAGAATTCTTTTTCACTGATTATTTCATGCATGCATATAACATGTTTTGGTCAAATCTACCCCTTACTCCCTCCCCTCCCTTTAAATTTTCCCTCTATTTCTGCCCCCTTTCCCTCCTAGCTTCATTCTCTCTCTCTCTCTCTATATATATATATATATGTGTGTGTGTGTGTGTGTGTGTGTGTGTGTGTGCCACTTAGTGCTGCCTAAAATGCATGGATATATGACCATCTACTGGAGTGTGGTAAATTTTCAGTGGCCTTATTCCTGAGGAAAGCCTACTCTCTCTCCTTCAGCAGCCATTAGTTACCTCCATCCTTGCTGGGATTTTGACTGGCTTGACCTTGAGAATCGGTCTAAAGATGTCAAAGGCTGTCACTGTGTAAAAACTGATTCTCCTTGCTCCACAGAGTTGACACATTGTACTAGCCCTCCACACTGTATGTCACATCAAAGCCCCTGTCCCCATTCTAATGGAATCAGTTTTATGAACCAACTGGTAATATATCTATCCTTTGGGGGATAACGTGGCGAAATACTGTATGCTTAAAAAGTGACTCCATGGGGGAAATTTTGAGGGAGTTTGTCTTGCTGAAGTCTCCATCCTTACTGCAGACACATGTCCACAGTGAGTAGCACTTACCCCTGAGAGTAAAGACATACTTAAAAGAACACTCTCTTCTCCTCTTTCCTTCTCCATGCCTAAGTTGTGCAGGGGCGGGAATCCTGGCTTCATCTTCATCCCCAATTCACACATGCATCGAACCTAAGCTACTGCCCTTTTAACTCACCAGCTTTTGAATTTGCTCTGAGAACTTTCAAAGTAACACAGAGAGCAATGCATATGCAGTACGTCCCTTGAGAGGATGGAGCAAAAGGAAAGACAGGATGGAGACATATTGTCTGTTTATTATTTATTTATTTATTTGTGTGTGTGTGCAGGTTTCAGGAGAGAAAAAACCGACCAAAAATGCCATATGGATTGACTGTGGAATTCATGCCAGAGAGTGGATCTCACCTGCTTTCTGCTTGTGGTTCGTAGGCTATGTAAGTACTTCCCATAGGCCGGTGTTTCAACTGTATAATGACTGAACTGCATTTTCCTACATCACAGCCTAGAATTCTTGGTTCAAGTTTTACAAGTGATGCTTGTAAAAATGCAGTGTTCACACTGAATGATGATTAAGAAACAATATTCTATTAAGCAATCATCTTCCTAAAGTAGTAAAAGTATTTGGAGCAAATATCTGTTTGGCCCTCCTCCTCATTAACCATCATTTTGGTTTGAACTGTCTGGACATCTTTGCCGCATCCCACCCTTGGGAACTGAACATGAGGCCCACACTTACAGATCAGATAATGCCTTTGCATGCATCATAATAAAGAAATCTGTCCTTGAAAAAGGGATTGACATGAAGAAAAAGCCATATATAAGACAAAGAGTATGCCATAAAAATGATAAGTAGGAAGGCTATAAGCCTCCACAATGAATAAGAACAGTAAGATTATGCTTCAGGTCCTACAAAAAGGGCAAGTGTACCATCCATTTTGATTAATACAAGGAGACATGTACTAGAAAATTCAAAATGCATGCCTTTCTGATAACACTATTTCACAAAGACTGTAACATGAAATAGATCAGTTGGCATATTAAAACATCACTGATTAGATCCCTCTAAACAAATGGAACACATCAAATGTAGAGCTATTTCTGCCTGCACTGGGTCCTAACAAATGTGACACTCCTAACCACTGTCACCTGCATTACATCTTCCCTTCTCCAATAAATTTGAGTTTGTTAGGCATCTCAGGGGCGACTGTTCCTGGGGAGATGTGAATGAATGTCTACATAATCCAGAAATAGAAGCAACCACAGACCAACGTAAGGATACCTACTGCTCAAGAACCAGTGAGTTTAGGGGGGTTACTTACAGGACTGTGGATGAAACACGAATGACACAAAGACAACTGTTACCACTGAAAGCCCACTCCAGCGCAGCTGACAGCCCATGGAAGCTGGAACCATAGTGCTCACTGTGTAGCTCTCAGCTCTACAGGTTGAAGAGTGTCTCTTGTGGGCAGTTCATCTAGTCTGATTGTCATCCAGGTAGTTCCTCTGGTTTCTGTCTCCCCGGAAATACTTACTTCTTACTTGGAAAGTGAGGGACCTTGTGTGTCTGATCAGTTTCAGGGTTTTCCTGAGACTCCTGAGTTATCTAAATGCTGGGATTAAAGGCATATACCTGGGTCCTCCTCTTCCTCCTCTTCCTTCTCCTCTCTTCTTTTTTTGTTTGAAGATTATGTATACAGAGTTCTGCTGCATGTACACCTGCAGGCCAGAAGAGGGCACCAGATCTCATTATAGATGGTTGTGAGCCACCATATGGTTTCTGGGAATTGAACTCAGGACCTCTGGAAGATCTTTGCTTTTAACCTCTGAGCCATCTCTTCAGCCCTGTTTGAATCTTCATAAGAACCCTCCTTTTAGAACTTCCTGGGTTTCAAAGAGCTTCTAAAGATACTGCTATCCAACAGCACTGCAATATCCCTGAGCCTATTGAACAGTTTCCACTCACCATTGAAACTATCTGGACCAAATGAGACTGGTTCCAACTCAGAAATATTCGTAAGTTGTCCTTGAGGACCTAGACTCTGGAGATACAGGGAACAAACTGTGGATTGATGGTTTTACCATCAAGTATTTTATCTTAAGAGTACTTGGTAGATACTTTTTTACTTGAGTCAATAATCATGTCCCTGATTCCCACTGAGTGAGTGGGACACTCCAGCCTGGTCTGCCTAAAACAAACCCAGGTCACTGACTCTTGAAATACTTCAAAGCTCTGCAGGAGGAAAAGTCAGTTTGAATACTTTCAAATAGTTTGAGTGGGGTTGAGGATGTATCTCAGTGGTTTGTTATTCTAATAGTCCTAGGTTCAAAACATGCTTTGCCTGGGTAGATTCTACTTTTAAAAGTCACTAGAGTCAAAGGGGAATCGACACCTTAGCTCTTAAGTCTTTTACTTTCTTCTAGATCTTAATAAATATTGTAAAACCCATGCAGTCCAGTGAAGGCATTAATTCACTTTGAGAAGCCCAGGGGCAGTCATGTCCCTCTCTCTGCTCCTCACTAATTCTTGGGAGGCCACACTGGATCCCTTCTAGTTCTGCAAAAGCAGAAGCTGAGACTGGTGTGTTCATGCCTGCATCAGCACAGCCGAGCCCCAGCTCATGATCTGGTCATCATAGTAACCCAGTAAATACACACTGAGCACTGCACTTCCCTTGGTGCTTTCTCCAACAACTCACTCTTGTACTCATTTACTCTTCCATAGAAATCGACCCAGCAGTAACGATTAATATATAAGTGATTTACTTCTGACAACCATTAAGCTTCTGAGTTCTCCTTCCTATAGAGATAAACACATAGGTTGTGTGTGTGTGTGTGTGTGTGTGTGTGTGTGTATGTGTGTGTGGTGTGTGTGTGTCTGTGTGGTATGTGTGTGTGTGTTGATGCTATTGCACAGCACAATTATACACATATACTGTGTTTGTGAGTTTTCATATGAGTACTGCATTGGCATTATTTCCCAACTCCTCTGTGTCTCCTCCCCTACTCCTTCTCAGCTTCTTCACGCGCTTTTGTTCTTTAATCATTGTTGTCTCTCTCACACACACACACAACCTGCTGAGTTCACTTAGTGTTGCACATATGTATATATGTTCAGGAATGACAATTTGGGACTGGATAACCCGTCGGTGTCCTCGCAGGACTGCCTTGTAGTAAATGCTGGCAGCTCTGTGTGTGGGCGTTAACATGCTTGCAGGTGCCCATGGAGGTCAGACGTGCCGGATCCTCTGGGGGTGGAGTTGCGGCACCTGTGGACCACCTGATGTGGATGGATGCTGGCAGCAGATGCTTGCGTATGATCTGAGTGCTGAGCCATCCTTCCAGCCCTTGAGTAGAAGTCAAAAGAAACTTGTAAAAGTTAATAATGAGAAAGACCTGTTTCTTTTTATCTTTTGATTTGTGTGTAAGACAACAACTAATCCCAAGCTAATATCCAAACTAAAATGTATCAATGTTATTGCAGTATGGAAATTCTAAACCAAAGCTTTCTAGGAGAGTGTTTTAACCAGCTAGAGACTTCAAAGAACATTCTGCCTGTAATTTTTTTTTATCATTTTGGAGTGAACTCTGTGGATGTCCTTGGACTGTGCAGAAAGCTGTACTTCTAAGCTGGTGTGAGGCAGCAGAGGGAGGAGTGAGGGCCGGATGATGATTCTCAGCAACTCAGAGCAGGTGCCTATGAAGACTGCCAGGGATCTTAAGACCATGGGACAACATGTGAGGGAAAGGAACTGGAAACAATTATGACAAGTTCTAAGGGCTATTAGGTAATTATTTAACTAAGTGTGGATCTAAAACAGTGGTCCTCAGCCTTCCTAACCTGCGGCCCTTTAATACAGTTCCTTGTGCTGTGCTGAACCCCAACCATAAAATTATTTTCATTGGTACTTCATAACTGTAACTTGCTACTGTTATGAATCATAATGTAAATATTTGTGTTTTCTGATGGTTTTAAGCAACTCTTATGAAAGGGTTGTTTGACCCCCCCCAAAGGGGTTGCAACCCATGTGTTGAGAACCACTGGTCTAAAACAAGATTAGGAAGAGCTCTATTTACTCTGGGTTATTGAAAAGGAGCTGAACTATACTGGGTTTTTAAAAAATCTTTGTTGTGAGCTTTATGACTTTAAAGGGTAGCCTTTCTTGCTGTTTGAAGGAGAGCTAAGAAATGGGTGGTTCTAGATTTCTATCATGGTTAAGTGGGAAGGTTCCTGACCCGTGTGGCATCGGAGTACCCTATATTCAGCCACTTTAAGGAACTGGTATTCACAGGTGTTTTGAAATGTCAGAAGGAGTTGTGGTTACCACACAGATCTCTGTTACTGGAGGGAGCCGTAGACAAAGGCAGGCAGCAGATGCTGTGTACAGGGGACGTGTGAGTGAGGCAAGCAGAAATCACCTGTAACACACAGAACACACAGGCAAACCGAGGTAACAAGAGCAGGCTATGAGGACAAGGGCAGAAGAACAAAGGGAACGCACGCAGAGAGAGTTCCCCGATCTGTTGTAAGGCAGCAGAAGCACAGCTGTAGTTAAGGAGTTGTCATCAACCCCCAATGAAAAAGTTTCAAGTCCTTTGAAAACAGTAAAGGGGTGGTGGGACTTATGATACAAAAATCCCCAAGGGCGACAGCCGTCGATATGAGTTACAATCAACTTTTTGTGTTTGTTTACAGTTTCTTTTTTTTCTTTTTTCTTTTTCCTTTTCTTTTTTGGTTTTACGAGACAGGGTTTCTCTGTATTGTTTTGGAGGCTGTCTGTCCAGCCCGGCCTCGAACTCACAGAGATCAGCCTGCCTCTGCCTCCCGAGTGCTGGGATTAAATGTGTGCACCACCACTGCCTGGCTTGTTTACAGTTTCATTAGCACTTGAGGATAAGTTTACCTAAGACATAATTTTTTTTAAAAAAAGGAAAGAAACCATTACTCTTCTTGCAAATTAAGTCTGCACATCAAATCAACTTCTTAGGAAGCGAGGAAAACTCATTTCAAACCAAGGCCAAGCTTAGAAGGACCTGAAATGAGACAGTAAACATACCTGGTTTAACGCGCAGGTAACCCAGTTCTACGGGAAAGAAAAGCTGTATACCAGTCTTCTGCGGCACGTGGATTTCTACATCATGCCAGTGATGAATGTGGATGGCTACGACTACACATGGAAAACGGTGGGTGAAGGCAAAGGAAGCAGAATATGCCCATTTGGGTACACAGAAACGCAGCGTGAATTATCCATGCAACCCTGGACCTTGGTGGCAAGGTTTTACTATGAAAACAGTATTCAATTACGGGCAATTTCAAACATCCATAAACACAGATGTAATTGCATACTCCCTAGACATCTGTCTACAGCCTCAGTGATGACTGTCAGCTTTCTGTTGCTGTGACAAAATGCCTGAGAGTAAAAGCTTAGAAGGAGGAAAGGTTGGTTTGATCCAGAGCATCAGAAATGTCAGTCCATGAGGCTGTGGCAGGAGGTCATGACAGGGGCACATGGTGAAACAAAACTGTCCCTGTAATGAAGGATGGGAAGCCGAGAGTGAGTGGGGTAGGGTAGGGAGCCAACGTATCCTTTAAGGACACATTCTGCAGTGAGCTCAGTTTCCTCTGCTAGATTCCTCTTCTACTCCCTCCCAATAAGGCTGCAAGCCGACAGCCAAGCCTGCAACAGATGGGGAATGTTTCAGATCAAACCGCTCCACAGCTCAAGGCCCACTGTGTTTCATTTATGTCCTCTTCTGCCTTCTACTTTACCCTCCCTGTTTTAAAGAGAATCCAAGGCACCGTACCATCGTTTTATTAATAAACACTTCACTGTGTATTTCAAAAAGAAAGAAACTCTCAAAAAATAAAAGCTCATGTTGTAGCGGTGAGTTTGACGTCGGCTTCAACTAAAACCATGCTCTGTAGGCCAGCCTGGGCTGCAGTGTAAGGCCCTGTCCCAACGAACTAACCAACCAACCAAACAACCAACCAAACAAACAGCCAGTCAGACAACCAAGCAAACAACTAACCAACCAAGCAAACAACCAGCCAACACATCCTAAACCAAACGGGCACAGTGTGAAGAGATCACTGAAACGCATAACTCATAGTTTCGAGCTGAGAAATAAGCTTTTTTGCTTTTCTTTGAAGAGTTAAAAAATAGTCCCTGAAATTAATTTAAAGGAGGTGGGGCTAAGTAAGAAGGGGAATGGAAACCAAAGAGTTTTCATGCTTGTAGATGTCAAAATCCATGAGATATCATTTTTATTTGGCTCAAGCCAACAGTTCAAGTGAGTGTGACTGGGACCTGGATGGAGATGGGGCTTCGTGAGAAGACCATGGCCAAGACAGGATGGTCCAGCTTGATAACCTATCCCTGTTTGGTTCCTTTAGAACCGAATGTGGAGAAAGAACCGTTCTGTCCACAAGAACAACCGATGTGTGGGCACAGACCTGAACAGGAACTTCGCTTCCAAACACTGGTGTGGTAAGCGTTTGCATGCCTTTCTTCCTGGAAATGGTGACAGACATTCACGAATTCAAAGTAAGTGCAGGGAGGTGTGTCTGAATTAGGAACAATCTAATAGCAAGCACCTGACTTAAATATAGTGCTATGACTGTTGACTGAAGCCAGCAAACTGCTCTAACCTCTCCCTCCTGCTGCTGGCTCATCATTAAAGAAGGAAATCGAGCCAGATAATTTTTATTTATTATTTGATAATCTTACACACATAGACAATGTATCTTGATTGTATCCATCTTCAACTCCCTTTCTTGCTCTCCTCAAACGATCCTAAACATGTGCTTCTCCTACCTTAGTTATTGCCTCCTCTTCTCTTCCCTCTCCTGCTTCTTCCTTTCTCCTCCTCCTCCTAGTTCACTGGGTCCAATTAGTGCCACAGGCACGAGGATAGGGAACCTACCAGTGACCACATCCACAACGAAAAACGGCAGCCTTCTTCCTGCAACCATCAGTTAGTGCTGCCTGCGTGAGGAAAGGGAACATAACAATGACCACACCCACAACGAAAAATGGCAACCTTTCTCTGCAACCGTCATTGGCAAATGGCTTGCTCCTCAGTTAGGAAATGGGAACCGGTGAGTTCTGGATGCATTCACGATAGAAGTTTTGACCAGTTTGATCTTGTACAACCATGGTTGCTGTGAGTTCCTGTCATGTCCCAAAGACAGTGTTCCAGAGCTCTCCTCAGAATCCTTTGGCTCTTAGATTCTTTCTCCTGCCTCTTCTGCAGTATTTCCCGCTCCTGGCAGGAATTGATAGAAATGGTCCATTTAAGGCTGAGGACTCAACAAGCACCGGTTTTTAAAGGTCTCTTGTAGTTTCTGAATTTAAAAAATAGCATCTAAGACTAACAAAGAATTTACCAGAGATCTTCTTTAATATGTCATGTTCCTCAACAGGACACCAAAGACTAGGATAGGGGATACCCTCTCATTTCCAATTGTACGGGTAAATATTTATTTTTGTTGTGTTTTAAATTTTTCCCTTTGTGTTCGGATATTGCCTTTCTTAACAAGTTCATCATTTCATGCATGATATAAAATACTAAGAAATCATAAAATATAAAAAATGATACAAAGGCAAAGTGTGAACTTGCCATCCTTTGGTTTGAGTGAACAGAGGTGCTTAGTGAGCATGGACTTGGGTCATGGAAACAGTCTGCTCTCAGGGAGGCAGATGTAAGCTCGCCCTTTCTTCCCACGGCACCCAGCATTATAGCTCATACTGCCAGAGTTAAGAAACAGCTATGGGTCAGGAATGATGGTGTCAATCTGTTAATCCAGCACTTCTGAGCTGCGGCAGGCAGATGACAGGGTTCAAGGTCAGACCGGGCCACACAGCATGAACATGAAGGAAACTACAAACAAGCCCCTAAATTATACAATGAGCTTTAATCCTCTTCCATATTGAAAATATTTACACATGGCTTGGGTAAAATGTGGCTCTCTGATGCTCCACTCCTGTGAATTAGGGAAATAGGGAGAAATACTGAAAGACGGGTGTATTAGTCAGGGTTCTCTAAAGGCATATAACTGATAGAATAAAAAAAAGAAGGTATGTGTGTAATATGTATGTATATATATATGTATATATATTCCACTGGAAATAATTCAATTAAGAAAAGTCCCACACAAGTGTACCCAGACCCTTGGATTTTAGATGTAGTCAAGTTGATAACTAAGGATAGCCATCATAGCAGGCTACCATACAAAGGGACACGTATTATGACCTCTTAAATGAATTAATGAATCTTAGTCGGGTACCAAAAACCACCGTCACATTGTAAATCATAACCCATATATCTAACTGTAAAACAGATCTGGAGACTTTTTGATGAATTATGCTGATTTTTGAGCTGTTAAGATTAGAAAGTTCACCTATTGTGACTAAGGGAATTCAGTTTATTTTTCATCATTTAACCAAATGTTAGGGAACAAGTAACAGCTGAGATCTTCCTGGTAAGGGAGATCCACCTAGGATGGCTTTGGCAAGCCTGCTGTAAATGCCTGACTTCAAAAGAAACACAGATGGCATTTACTGGACATCAGGAATGCATTCTCTATAGGGCCCTCCCTTGTCCATTTTTCTGCATTGCTACACTGCAGATCTAAGGTGAAGCATGGAGGCACAGAGTAACACACAACGTCTAATAACTCACCATAGCCATTTCACTACAGAGGAAGGTGCATCGAGTTTCTCCTGCTCTGAAACCTACTGTGGACCCTATCCGGAGTCGGAGCCAGAGGTGAAGGCAGTGGCCGACTTCCTGAGAAGGAATATCAACCACATCAAAGCTTACATCAGCATGCACTCATACTCCCAACAAATACTGTTTCCCTATTCCTATAACAGGAGCAAAAGCAGGGACCATGAGGAGCTGGTAAGCACTACTTATTGATTGTATTATAAGCATTTAGAAATAAAACAATATTCTGCCCAAGAATCAAAATAGAAGGAAAACCTTTTTCCTTCAGGGAACAATAGGTAGGTGTTTTTCTCCATCCCCTAACTCTGCCAGAATAGGCTTCCCTATGTTAGATAAACTGTGGAGAGCCAGAGGGGGGCTGTCCCACTTGACTTACATAGTGGTCACTAACTTGGACACCAGAAGGACAACTTGTCTCTGGTTAACTCCCTCACTCATTTGGGTGCAAGCAGTGAGAACTATTTATGGTCTGCCCTTTTCAACTCCCAAGGGTTGGTACTATCCAAGAACCGTCAGTGTCTATACCCAGATGGACCTGTTTGGAATGTAGTGGGCAACACGGGACATTCAATGAAGACACTCACAGTCTGCTACCTTCTTACGACTTTTTGGTCCCAGATACTCTGTTGGGATTGACAGTAAAGGATGCAGGATTCCAGGTGCTTATACCCAGACTCAGGCAAGCCCTTGTCCCAGGTGCTTTCCAGACAGAGGAGGTGCCCCGGAATGGGCAAAGGCCAATCTCTGGTCAGTAGATTGTTTTTGCTGCACTTTGTCCCCTGGCTCTCTTAACAGAGTAAAGTATACCTGCATTAGGTAGGCTATGTTTATATGCCTGTGTAGGTATAACTTAAGACAAATACTTTTTTTTTGTATTTTCTTAAAATAGCTTGTTTGAAACAAAACATGTTTGCTATTTGTTTTTTTTAATTCTCAAAGGAAACATTTTAAAGACATGCCTATCATTTTATTATTTGTTTTTATTAGTTTATTTATTAGCACTGTGTATAGAGAAATCGAAGGATATTTATCATGATTTATATGTAGAGCTGGTCTGATTTTGCCATATCAGAACAACTACTTCTTATGGGTAAAACTCTGTATTCTGTCAACATTCAAAGAAGCATTAGGTAAGCCCTGAATAAGGATAACTCCATATGGTTAGAGAGCTAGTCCATAGGGAGTGTCACAGACAGCTGTATTCATAGATGACAAATCTCCATTACGACACGAGCTCAACAATGACAGAAGTCACTGATGCCTGGAATGCCAAGAAAGTAAGAGGACAAAATGAGTACCATTCTTGAAGAATGTATTGTTCACTAACGGGTAAAGAAACAAGAACAATAAAGTTTATTGATATCAAGGGGCAGACAGTATTGCAACCAGGCACTGAGGGATTTCTATGGACAAGGAAGGACTCCTGTGCAGAGGAGATGGTGTTCCCAGAGGAACATACTCAGGGGACTGTGAGTGACACAAGAAGATGAAATTAGCTTGTGATGGTGTTTGAATGCAGTTGAATCTAGGTCCTCTGTAAGAGAATCCAGTTGCTCTAAACTGCTAACCCATCTCTCCAGCCCCTCAAACTTATTTTTAATTCTTCTTATGTATATTCATTGTGTGTGTGTGTGTGTGTGTGTGTGTGTGTGTGCACATGCACGCATGAAAGCATACATGCAGAGGACAACTTTCAGGAATTGATTCTCTTCTTTTACTATGTGGGCCCCAGAGATTGAACTCAGGTTGTCAGGCTTGGCAGCAAGCACCTTTACTTACCCATAGAGCCATCCCATTGGCTCCTAAAACCATTTGGGGTGGTGGGGGATGACAAAAAAAAAACTGGCGTAACAAAACAGCCCCAGATATTTCTCTGGGTCCTCAAGCAACGGATAGTACCATGATGCTAGCTCCAGTTTTAGGAAAAATAAGTGTTAAGTGGGAACTGCAGAAATCTTTTCTTTTTAAAAAATAGAGTTACTTACTATATGTACAATATTCTGCCTGTAGGCCAGAAGAGGGCACCAGATCTCATTACAGATGGTTGTGGGCTACCCTGTGGTTGCTGGGAATTGAACTCAGACCTCTGGAAGAGCAGCCAGTGCTCTTAATCACTGAGCCATCTCTTTAACTCCCAGAAACTATTTCTAAGAGTTGGGAATCACATGTAGTAGAACTTGCTTCATATCAGGGGTGTGGTCCTTTGTTTGACGAGTCTTTGGATGTTGTAAGACAAACACACCATAGAGTTTGTGAGAAGCAAATTGTGCATACAAGTAGGAATGTGTGAACTTTAGAGAAGTGGAAGTTAATATCTGGTGATAATTTTGTCTAGGAATGGGATAACTCCCAGCATTATAAATATCTAGTTCATTTTACATAATAAATTAATTCCTGAAAAGCTATGTCAGGTATTTAAAATGCAAATTAAAGAAAGCATTGATATATTGGCAGGCAGAGATTTTTTTTTTCCCTAAGCCACTCAGTTGTGATTGCCATAGGGGGAAAAACTTTTTTTAAGTTAATGTATTCTTTTTAATTTGCGATAAATCCAGGATGTATGTATGTATGTATATGTAAATGTGTATATTTGGATTCAATTCATGTGATTATGATTATGTTTGTTTATAAAATTCAATGTTTCCTGTTTCAAAGCTGCAAATTGACCAACACCTCTATCCTATTGCTTCTAGTCTCTGGTGGCCAGTGAAGCAGCTCATGCGATTGGAATCATTAGTAAAAACACCAGGTATACATATGGCAGTGGCTCAGAAAGTTTATGTAAGTATTCCTCCTCCTCCCCTCACCCCTTCTTTTCTTCCTTCTCCTCCATTTCCTTCCATTCCATCTCTGCATTCTATTTGCAGTGTTGGGGATGACACCCACGGCCTGAGGTCCTGGACAAGCACATGGGTACTGAGGGCCAACCGCAGTGCAGTGTTCCTTCTTGAGAGCTTAAGCCATGAGGCACAACAGAGGCACCCATTCAGTTTAGACAACAAGAAGCCAAAGTGGTATTTAAGACATGAAAGCGTAGCTCTACAGAGCAGGGGTTATCTAACCAGCAATCATACTAATTACATGAAGAAGAAGAAAAGGCCATACAGGGTCAAGAGAATGTGTAAGATGCCCACAGCTATCATGTGATATGTAAATCAAAAGATACCGTTAACAATGTATGCTTTTTAAGTGATGGTCTGTTTCCTGGCTCATAGTAAGAGCTTGATTGTGGCAAATTCAACGATGTTTCTGACCCACTTCTACTGAGAGATATTTATTGAGAAAGCCCTGCATAAATGGAAAACATTGATTCTGTCCTTCTGAAGCTGAAGGACAGACAGTGTCATGTGACACAATTCCTAGGGAGATAGGAACAAAAATCTACTTACTCTGGACAGGGGAACTGACAACAGACTGGACAGGGGAACTGACAACAGACCACAGTAGAGGTATCTATCACCTTTGTCCAGGTTGGGGAACCAAAGAGTTTGGGGGTTGCTTACAGAAATATGGATTAGGGGTCACTTATAGGGGCATAAGTGACTCAAAGGAAACGTCACACAAAGCCCACTTCAGCATGGGTGATGGCTCAGGGAAACTGAAACCCTGGCTGGAATGTTGTATTTAGGAGAATAGAAAACCAACATGCAAACAAATGTCAGCAAACTATAACCCAATGACCAAGCCTAGGTCACATATTTTTCATAGCCTTCAAACAAAGAATGGTTTTCCTATTTTTTAATGTTTGAAAAACACATGAAAATAATTAAATTTTGACACATCAAAATTATATGAAATTCATATTTGTTTCCATGAATAGTTTTGTTGGAACACAGTCATGCTCATTCATTTGCATATTATCTATGGCAGCTTTCATGACAGCCAAGATAATTGCAACAGAGACCAGATGGCTCACAAAACAAACTATTTCCTATCCTATCTTTTTCAGAAAAAAAAGTCTTGCCAACTCCCGATGGAAACAAATGGTAAAATAAAGCACAATTTCCCTCAGTGATTTCAAGAAAATAAAATGGACTTTTAGATTTGAGAATTATTGTAGCAGAGAGGAGTTACTTGGCCAATGTGGCCTGGCAAGGCAGTCCTTGGAGAACTATTAAGTAGATGCCAGATGACAGTGTAATACGTTGTATAAAGCATGAAAAAGATTTTGAGACAATATAATGAAAGTCAGGGACTCACTTAAATACGCAAGGCTATAACAAGTTACATCCAAATTCTATTCAATACCCCTTTAAGTGTCCTTAGCAGGAAGGCTAGGCTCTTCCATTGTCTTCAACCATCTCTGGGGTTGTCTGTCAGATTGGATCACATACTTCTGTCCTTTGGAGGCCCATGGATTGATCTCTCTCTCTCTCTGTCCCTCTCCCTCTCCCTCTCCCTCTCTCTCTCCCTCTCCCTCTCCCTCTCTCTCTCCCCCTCTCTCTCTCTCTCTCTCTCTCTCTCTCTCTCTCTCTCTCTCTCTCTCTCTCTCTCTCTCTCTCTGGCACCTACAAGAAAATCTAAAACTTTTACTGAAAGACAAATAGCAGGGGAATTCTTTATGTTTGGGCAATAGGAAAATACTATTAAAATTTACCTAAATTGATTTGTATAGTTGATGCAATTCCATGAACACTTAAATAATTTTGAAGAAAGTCTACATGCTTTGTGATGGGGAAAGGGGAAAGAATATTGAAATTTTCCTGTTGATTTTTTTATTGTTTTGCTTTTTGCTCTTTTGGGAGGCCCACCACCCAGCTCCCAAATAAATACACACAGAGATGTAATTATTACATATAAATGCCTGGCCTTACCTTGGCTTCTTTCTAGCCAACTTTTTAAAAACTATCCTACCTATCTTTTTCCTCTGGGCTTTTATCTTTCTCTATTTCTGCATACCTTTCTTTACTTCTTTCTCCATGGTTTGCCGTGTAGCTAGCTGGATAGCTGGCTCCTGATGTCCTTCTCCTTTTCTCATTCCTTGACCTCTCCTCTCGGATTACTCCTTTTATTTATTCTCTCTGTCTTCCAGCCCCGCCTATTTTTCTCTTGCCTTGCTATTGGCCATTTAGCTCTTTATTAGACCAATCTGGTGTTTTAGGCAGGCAAAGTAACACAGCTTCACAGAGTTAAACAAATGCAACATAAAAGAATACAATACATCTTTGCACCATGAAACAAATGTTCCATAGCATAAACAAATGTAACACACCTTAAAATAATATACCATAACATTTTTCTAAATTGATTTGTATATTTGATGTAATTTTATGAATATGATTTTGAAGTCCATTTGGCGCTGAGAGCTTTTATCATTTATTACAGAAGTAGGAATTAATATTCGAGGTATCAACCAACCAGAATTGACTTCTGATGGAGAAAACTTGCCTCGCAAAGTCTGCAAGAAATACAGATTCCAGAATATCTGTTGCTATAAATTTGGCCGTATTCTCTTGATTTGTAGAACATATACTAGGTGCTTTATATTTTCAAAAAGGTTCCAGAGAAAGGAAATTCCTTCTCACCTGGGTGTCAGCAATAAGAGCTGCAGCCTCCCAATGTCATGTAGCTCCTTACTCCGTTTAACTCTTCCCCACCTCGTAAATTTGTCCGCATGTTTTACAAGTCATGTCCCCTCTGAGACTTAAGTTTGCCTTGACATTTTACAAGTCACGTCTCCTTGCTTTTGTCAAGACTTTATCTGCCTTTTGACTCTGAGAGACATGCATGCCTGATATCCTTGCTGTTGTTAGAGAATTGTCTGTGGGTATATAACCTGGAAACCTTATGGGAATCTATGAGAATTTTTAAGAAGAACTTTTGAAGAATTTTTAAAGATAACTTTAAGATAGAGCCGTTAGAGGGAAAACTTTAGAGAGAACTTTTGAGGAGAAATCTTAAAGAGAGCTTTTTGAGAGAAAAATTTTGAAGAAAATCTTTTCAAGAGAAAGGGAAGAACTTTTTTTTTTAAGAACAAAGAGCCATGAAAAAAACGATATGTGTATCAACTGATTTGGTTGCCTTCAGACCTTTTTAGCCAAGCCCTACCCACCTGTAAGGTTTCTGCCTGAACCTTCATTAATTTGGAAGCATTTGATAAAAGAATATGTAAAATGCTGATAATAAGCATAATAAGGAACAATTTGCCCCTCTGAGGTATTGAAGCATGCTATAAGCACAGGATAATTAGGATAGTGTAGAACAGCCTGAAAGAGACAGATATTTGTCACGTCTGCTGCGCGGCCTGTGTCCGAGAACGTGCGGAGGGTGTCGGGGATTGACAACACAGAGACTCGTTCAATGATATAAAGAAAACTTTAAACAGGCTCCAAAAAGGTTCAAGAAAAACCTCCTAAGAAGAGCTCCCACCAGAGAAGCTTCTGCTCTCTCCTCTCCCCTGGCTGGTTCTGCTCTGACCCAGAGGTGGATGTGTGTGGGTTTTTGAAGGTGCGGTTAGTCTTTGGACAAGGTCGAGGTCAGGGTGGTTTCTGTGGGAAGGCCTTTCCCAGGAACTTATTGTATCATTTTTAGTAAACATGTTTTTACTAAACATTGTCTTACAGCTGCCTACTCCCAGGCAGAAGGGGAAGTGGGTCTCTGCTCAAGGTCTGGTGTTCCCACAATTCACCCCTTTTTATTTTCAAATGAGGCACTCCTGGCTTAGGTCAAGTAGGGTCACCCTCCCTTTCCCGTCTTTGGGGGACCTTGAACCCCTGTTTTAGGTGGGAGGGGTCTTCCCCACAGGTTGCCCGTCATCGGAGATACCCCAACCTTAAATCATCTGTAACCAACCTTCATGGCTATCGGGATTGCCATGGGCTAAGCTAAGCAATACTTGGTTACGGATCTCTTGCCTCTGGAACAAGGCACGTTTGAGCTCGGCATAAAGCCAGAATGCCTACCACCACTGCCACCATTTCCAGGACCCCCATTGACATAGCGCCTCTCCATTACCATACCCATCACCAGATCTGGGCCATAACATTCTACCAGCCTTCGTCTGTTACAAGGGTAACCCGCATGTGATTTACATTTACAATTTGATAAAGTTTCCAATCGTTTCAAGATCTGCTCAGGAAAGCATTTAGAAAGTGCACTTGCACAGATACATTGGGCACAATCATTGATGTTACACATGTAGCATTATGAAAAATATGAACAATAGTTGTCACATTAGGACAAGTTGCATTTCTCCAGAAAAATACACTGGCCTAGTCGTGATTCTAGAAACAGGAACCATCAAGTCTGATATTCCAAGTGACCATGTCCTGTTCAAATACTGAAAAGAGGCTTTTGCCACTCATCATAGTCCATACCAATGTCCAAATGCTTTAAATGGGTCCTTTTTTCTCTGTTGGCTTCATGATGAAAACTCATGGGTCCGGAAGGTTGATGCAGCAGGTCTGTTGAGAAACTGGAAATCTCGAACTGACTGTTTTCTTTCTTTCTTGGGCTGTAGATTCGATGACATCAAGGGTCAGGAACACTGATTTAGGAGATCTCACTCAAACTGGCTTAGGTAGGCTCCCATGGTCTCAGGTCCAGTTTTTCTCTGCTCCATGCATCTCACTAAATGGTCTGACAGCTGCCAAAACTTTATTCTTTTCCTGCAAGAAAACACAAACATGCCCTCAACCCCAAATTAGGGTCTTCTCCACTGTCTAGTGCATGGATGTCTCCATTTGACCTGAGCAATGGTTGCTCAAGTTCCATCATGCCAGAATCTGTCTGAAGCTCACTGGCATTCACATTATAAAATTTTTAAATGAGGAGTGTATTATTTGATGAGTCATGTGGGGACTGGGGACATTATTTCCCCTTTTTTATTTTCTAAAAAAAAGTTTTTTTGAACTGTTGAAGCTGGACCATAACAGTAGAAGGATTTGTCTACCCTCCTTGGTTGACTATCTAGGTAAATTGGGATTACTACTTAGATTATTTGTAGATGCCCATTAAAAAGGACATATCCATTAAATATTTCCCAAAAACTTCTGAAAATCACTCAAAGATTGTAAACTATACTGTGTCCAAATAACTTTTTAAAATTATTTGAAGTCTGTGAGCAGTCTTTCCCAATCTAACCTGTAGAGCTCTCACTAGCTGACAAGGCCTCATTTGCATCTTAAATTTTTCTGTTAAAACATTAACAGACTGGCTGGATGTTCCTTTTGGCTATATATAAAGCAATCTAGGTAGCTTCTTAACTATTTTTTGAAGGGATTTAAGTATCCTTTTAATCATATAAGCAGTTCACACTCACACATTCGCAATCACATTTCATACATACCGGTGTGGCCACACCATACATTCAGAACATACATGCATCTTTCAGTCATCCTTTTTCCCTAGGTCATGATTAGTCTGTTGCAATGAAGCTTCCTTAATTGAAATCTATGTAAAAGAACAACTCCAGCCAATCCTTGAACTAAAAAGGTTAAAAAGTCCTATATGTTTTTATCATTCCTCCATTTGAGCTACAGTCATGGGGTACAGCCGTACCTACTCCTTGTAACTCTGTAGATGCAAGGTAGAGAGGCCAGGCTTTTGGCCAAAAGTTTTTAGAGATGACTCACAAAATAGAACTTAAATGTAAACAAAATTTTCCATTCCATATACCTTTGTCTTTGTCTTTTTCTTTAATTAATACCAGTACCAATTTTTTTTTGAGTCAGGGTTTCTCTGTATTGTTTGGAGGCTGTCCTGGAACTTGCATAAAGGTGTGTTGGGATTAAAGGCGTATGCCGCTGGGAATCTCTTGGATTCCCCTACTTCCTGACCCTGGTATCAGGCTTAGGAGGGGGAAACTCAGAATGTCTAGTTTCTGACTTTTTAATCTCATTGGCAGCAGCCGCTTCCAATGTATTATTGGTGTTATAAAAATTGATGAACAGGGAGCTGGAATGACTAACTGGCATTAACATGGGGGGGAATCCTCACCAACGCCCATATTTCCCTTACCTGAGTGTTCAGCAATGGTTGGATCATCTTTATCATGGTGAGCATTCCTAGTATCTGGAGTAGTATTGGGGTCAACATGCCTGATGCACCGTTCGGGGACCCAAATGGGCTTCTCACTTCCTCGCTTTCACGATCTCGGTGGGACCTCCAATTGTCACGTCTGCTGCGCGGCCTGTGTCCGAGAACGTGCGGAGGGTGTCGGGGATTGACAACACAGAGACTCGTTCAATGATATAAAGAAAACTTTAAACAGGCTCCAAAAAGGTTCAAGAAAAACCTCCTAAGAAGAGCTCCCACCAGAGAAGCTTCTGCTCTCTCCTCTCCCCTGGCTGGTTCTGCTCTGACCCAGAGGTGGATGTGTGTGGGTTTTTGAAGGTGCGGTTAGTCTTTGGACAAGGTCGAGGTCAGGGTGGTTTCTGTGGGAAGGCCTTTCCCAGGAACTTATTGTATCATTTTTAGTAAACATGTTTTTACTAAACATTGTCTTACAGCTGCCTACTCCCAGGCAGAAGGGGAAGTGGCCAGGAACTTATTGTATCGTTTTTAGTAAACATGTTTTTACTAAACATTGTCTTACAGCTGCCTACTCCCAGGCAGAAGGGGAAGTGGGTCTCTGCTCAAGGTCTGGTGTTCCCACAGATATTAGAAGGAAATAATTGTCACAGAAAGATATTCAAATATTTAGGGAGACCTGGTATTTCAAAAAGGAGACACTCAAACCAGTTGAATTACTTAATTATCAGCCCTAGAAAAACTGACAAATCACTAAGAATAAAAACTGAATTAATCTAGGTGGTGGTGCTCACCTTTAATCCCAGCACCTGAGAAACAGAGACAGGTGGATCTCTGTGAGTCTGAGGCCAGGCTCGTCTACAAAGTAAGTTCCAGGACAGCCAGAGTGGTTATACAGAGAAACCCTGTATCAAACACACACACACACACACACACACACCCAACCAAACACAAAACTAAATTGAATTATTAATACACATTTCACTGAAATAAATGCCAAATTGATCAAATATTAAAGTACAAAACTCCACCGTAAGCTAAAAACTTGAGTGAGAAAAACTTCACGTTGCATGGATGTAACAACATCAATGTTGTTTGTATAAACAACATATAAAATAAACTGTGTAAAAAAGGAAATTGATAGAAAAATGTAAAGATGAACAATAAACATATAAAAGCATGCAATTCACTGATAAGGAAACCTAAATCAAATACAGTTGCATTTTTTTTTCCAGAAAATTGCCAGGATTCATGATTCTTTCCAATGATTGCAGGAGCTGGCAGTGCGTGTATTCACACCCTGCTAGGAGAAACAGGGTCATCTTTTGAATAGTATTTGGTAACAAGTGTGGTAACTGTTAAAGGTACACAACCTTAGACACATAACTCTGCCTCTAGAAAATATTCTGAAATAATAAATGTTGATTTATAAGCAAAGGTGCTCATTCTAAAGAAACTAAGTTATTTATCAACAAAAGTATTTGAATCTCTCACATGTGGCTTTACAATGAAATACTATAGAAATCATTATAAAGCCGGGCGGTGGTGGCGAACGCCTTTAATCCCAACATTCGGGAGGCAGAGGCAGGTGGATCTCTGTGAGTTCGAGGCTGGTTGGACCGACAGCCTCGAAAACAATACAGAGAAACCCTGTATCGTAAAAACAAACAAACAAAAAAATAATGACGTAGATTCAAACTCATTAATGATACATTTGGAAATGTTACAATAATAATTATCTCTAGAAATGTTACCAAATAGCAGGCAGGCACTGTTTGACTTTATGCAATAAAAATTAAGCCAGAAAATCCATGCACTGTAAAACGCACTGAAATGTTATTGGTACTTATCACTCCTTGTTCAGGTTATTGTTGAGTTCTGGGCAACATTTGTTTTCTTTCTTTTTTTTTTTTTTTTTTTTTTTTTTGGTTTTTCGAGACAGGGTTTCTCTGTGGCTTTGGAGGCTGTCCTGGAACTCGCTTGGTAGTCCAGGCTGGTCTCGAACTCACAGAGATCTGCCTGCCTCTGCCTCCCGAGTGCTGGGATTAAAGGCGAGCGCCACCAACGTCCGGCTTTGTTTTCTTTCTTAACGTGTTTTCTTTTCAGTGTCTGCAACTTTCGGATAAGAAATTTAGGTAACTTAATCAGAAGAAAGCAAAGTTATTTTCATTTCTACAAAAAAATGTTTTGTTGTTGAGTTGAAATATATTTCAAAATATTCTCTTTCGTCTTCTTTTAGACCTAGCTCCTGGAGGTTCTGACGATTGGATCTATGATTTGGGCATCAAATACTCATTTACGATTGAACTTCGAGATAAAGGCAGATACGGATTTTTGCTACCTGAGAGATACATCAAGCCCACTTGTGCAGAAGCTCTGGCTGCAGTCTCCAAAATAGCTTGGCATGTCATCAGGAACGTTTAATGCCCTTGCCTCTGCTCCGTTTAATCTCAGCAACACTCAATTGTGAACTAGCTTTCTAAGTTTAATCAGTTTCTTTGGTTTTTGTCAAAGAATAAAATACATAACACTTTGAGCTTAAGGGTGCCAATGGTTCATGTGTATTTCAATCTTTTTATTGTAAGGGCTAACTAGGTACTGATCCCCAACATACTCACCCCTTGATTTATGATGGCCACCTATATCAAGCTGTTTTATTATTTGTATGTGTGAATGTGTGCCCCTGCGCGAGTTTAAGCACCTAGTTCGTGCTGGACCCCATAGAAGGCGCTGGGCTCCCGGGAACTGAAGTTACAGGTTATTAGCAGCCACGTGGGTGCTGGGAACCAAACCTGGTCTCTGCAAGAGCAGCAAGGACTCTTAACGGCTGGAGCCGTTTTTTGTAGCCCCTCTTTTTTTGTTGTTTTTGGTTTTTTTTTTTTTTTTTTTTTGGTTTTTCGAGACAGGGTTTCTCTGTATTGTTTTGGAGGCTATCGGTCCAGCCCAGCCTCGAACTCACAGAGATCCGCCTGCCTCTGCCTCCCGAGTGCAGGGATTAAAGGCGTGCGCCACCACCGCCCGGCTTTCTAGCCCCTCTTAAGCAACTTTGATCCCAATTTTATGCAGACCATTGAATCTAAAGCAGCAAAGCAAAGGCAGTTGGAAGCATCTTAGGGATTTCTACTCCAAGATTTCAGTCAATCTCTGCACGTGTTCTTGAAAGCACAATGCGTGTCCAGTTTTTCCTCCAGCTATAGGCCCAGGCAGGGGAAAGGCGGATGACAAACCACCCCAGGCTGTGGTTACGGCCAGTTACAAAGTGGCACTTTACACACTGGAAAACTGTTAAATCGAGAACCTCTCGTTTGATTGAGACTCGCAGCTCTCCGTAGCTGGCTCCCAGCTCCCTTCCCCAAATCTCAGTGGGTAGGAGGTGCACACACCCGGCACTGTCCTCCAGGCTACTGGGGTGTATGGGTGTTGGGGAGAGGGGGCAATAGTCCGGGAGGGGCGGGACTTACTCGCTGACGTCTAATCTGGCGGCCGGAAGCCGCTTGGCCTGTGGCGGAGCGGGGCAAACTAGCGACTTCCGGCAGTGTTTCGCTGCTGCCTGCCCAGCGGCCTGGCACGGTTGTGGCGTTAGTGCGCAGGCCTGCTGCGGCCTCTGTGCTCCTCGTCTGGCGTCCCGAGCTCTCTGGAGCCTGACGAGGATCCGGGCGGCTCCGCTGCTCCCGGTTCCCGGCGTCCGCCCGCCTGCGGAGGGCCGGTTCCTGGGAGCCGCGCGTGCACGTCCTCCTCGTCGTCCTCCCGGGGCCGGGCGCGGGGACAGTGGGCTCCCCAGCTCCTTAGAGCGGAGGCAGCAGGGACGCCCGCGGACTGCCCTTCCTGAGGGTGCTCGGAGACGAGGTAGGCGTGCTGGGAGCTGACGGGGAGAGGCGTCGGGTCGGGCCCAGGCGGGATGCTGACGCCGTGCCCAGCATCCTCTCGCAGCTCCTGCTCCTCGCTGTTCGGAACTCTGCTCCAGCGTCCCGGCCTGCAGGGGCTCCCAGTGCTTAGATGTGTCTGTTGTGGTTCTGGGTCAGGCGGCTGGCGGGCTTGGGTACCCTGGCGCGGTGGGCTCGTTTGTGTGTGGTGAAAGGGTGCAGCCGTTTGTTTTTGGATTTACGTTCTTCGGGTCTTGTAGACCTGTTGGAGAAAGGAGAGTCCAACTTTTGGTTGTTCCTGGTCTTGCTTATTTCCCGGCTATGGTAAATACAACTGGGAGTGTAGGAGCGTTACTTTAACTTTACAGTCCTTAGTCACTTTTGCTATTTATCAGAAGCAGGGGAGGGTAGAATGAAAAGAGTGTATCTGACAGTATCATTTTCTAAGTAGGTTCACATTTGTGTGGCTCGAAAAGTATTGAGTTGACAAGTTTTGGGTGATATTGGTAGGATCTTGTTCGTGAAGGGCAGCATCTTAAGTTAGTTTTATTACGAGTCTTCAGATAGTTTGAAGATTATTATGGACGTGTGGAATCTCTTCTGGTTTTGGGGTTTTTGAGGGAGTTATTTGAGAAGTTTGGAATTTAAAGTCTGGCATTTAAGGTTTTAAAGGTCTATGATATTGGGCAGTGGTGGCGCACATCTTTAGTCCCAGCATTCTAGAGGCAGAGGCAGGTGAATCTCTCTAAGTTCGAGGCCAGCTTGATCTACAGAGCGAATTCCAGGACAGCCGGAGCTACACAGAAAAACCTAAGCAAAACCAAACGACAACAACGAAACAACCATAAACGCCTTAGAAAAGCCCGTGGTATAGTTGCTCAGTTAAGACTAAATGACTCTGGCTCTGTCTTTTTTTTTTTTTTTTTTTTTTTTTTTTGGTTTTTCGAGACAGGGTTTCTCTGTAGCTTTGGAGACTGTCCTGGAACTCACTTTGTACACCAGGCTGGCATCGAACTCACAGAGATCAGCCTGCCTCTGCCTCCCGAGTGCTGGGATTAAAGGCGTGCGCCACCAACGCCCGGCTGGCTCTGTCTTTTTTTTTTTTTTTTTTTTTTGGTTTTTCGAGACAGGGTTTCTCTGTGGCTTTGGAGGCTGTCCTGGAACTCGCTCTGTAGATCAGGCTGGCCTCGAACTCACAGAGATCCGCCTGCCTCTGCCTCCCAAGTGCTGGGATTAAAGACGTGCGCCACCAACGCCCGGCTTGGCTCTGTCATTTTTGTGTTCAGTTTTGCTATGTAATTTTGACATTCCTCGAATACAAGCAACAGTATTTTGCAATACAATGTATAGATTTCCAAACAACTTCGAAATGGCTTCATTGTATCAGATGACAGTTTCAACTGCAGACTTAGCAAGTTGATGTAGGCATGTAGTAGGTTTGTATGAAAACGGTTGTGCTCTGAAACTTGAGTTTTAGTATGACCGTCTGTTAGGCTGCAGTTGTATGAAACACACAGTGACATCCACCCATAGTGGGTGACTCAGATACCCAAATGTACAGAAACTCAAATCCTTCTAGAAAATGATCTTTGAGTATGTCCGCACATTTTGTGCTTCCAATAATCTCTATACTTCTAATGAATAGTATTATGTACATACTATATAAGTAGTTTTGTACTGGATTGCTTAGGAATAATGTAAATAAAGGTTTTTGCACTTTGATGTATTTTTTTCCCCTGAATATTTCAATCCAGGGATATAGGCTTTTTATTTGCTTTCTGTTTACTGGTGATTCAAAATGAACATTAACTTTCGAGATAGGGTTTCTCTGTATTATTTTGGAGGCTGTCCTGGCACTCGCTCTGTAGACCAGGCTGGCCTCGAACTCACAGAGATCCACTTACCTCTGCCTCCCGAGTGCCACCAAGGCCCGGCGAACATTAACTTCTTATTTTGAGTATATACTCTGTCCACAGCCACACCACCCTGAATGCACCTGACCTCAGAAGCGTAGCAGGGTCTGGCCTGGTCAATGCTTGGATTGGAGATGTATACACATACCTACCTCAGTTTGATGTCTCTAATATAAATTTAAAATACTAAAGCACAGTGTAACATATGTCAATACATTTTATTCAGTCATTAGTGTTACATGATTATGAATTTTGAACTTAAACCTAGATCACATCCTCAAGATATTTAACTTTCCAAACTTTGAGTCCAAAATACACGTGGTCTCAAACATTTAGGTTAAGGGGAGTCTCAATTAGCATGTTTTACTGGCAATACTTAACAGGCCTTGGAAGTAATTACTAATTCAAGAAGAGCCAGCTCTGAGATGCTCCTTTCTCAGCTGTGTTCATGGTGTGGAATGTGGAGTAATTGTTCCTGAAGAAGGGGAACAGTTCTCATATTTGAACTTAATGCCCCAGAATTTTATTTTTTAATTGAAAGGAGATGACAGGAGCTATATTTATTGCATTCCAGAGGAGAATAGGTAAAGGAAAATAACTGTATAGTTATTTGGCCTTGGTAACTCTTGTATTTGTGAAAGACGTGATGATATAGGTGATGACAGCGTAAACCAAAGAATGATTTGAATACCAAATGAAGGGACATCTTTAGACAAGAGTCTGTTTACTAGTAAGTTACTGGTTTACAGTCTCTGTGATTGGAAAGACATTGGCATCTACAATTCTGTGTTTGTGTCTGATATTTCTCCTCTACTTTGAAGCATTCATATCTATCTCATTAATAGTTTTGTCCTTTAATCACATCTGCACTCTACTCTTTTGTGATAGTCATCTGTCTTTGAACCCAGCATTTAGGATTGAAGTTTTTGAGCTTTCATATCAGTTGATTACATGGCTTTGAATTACATGGTTTAATATGAAAAAGAAATGTTTTTCTGATGTATATATTTTAAAGTATATTATTTTCTGTGCAAACAGTGTTTATTAATGAAGAATCATAACTGAGTGGCTTCTAATGTTGAGGACAACATTGTATTGTGGACTGCTAGCAGGGATTCTTAGGTGGACAATGTATTAAACATCTGAGACAGGATGCTAATGAAGAAAGGAAAGCCAATTTCAACTTATGGCTTTAGAGATTTATGTCCAGGGTTACATCCATTGCTTTGGGCCTCTTAGGTTGGTGGCACAAGCCAGGAAGTGAAGTGATATAGGGAGAGATGGACAGACAGGCTCTACAATTAATTCCCTCATGAAAGCATCCCTTTGCCTTCTTATTATGCCTTACCCCTTAAACGGTCCACAGCACCTCCTGCTACCACCACCCTGAGGACCAAGCCTTTACTGACAGCCTTTTGGAGGATGGATGGGGCCACTCATCCACATCTTAGCAGATGATCAGAGGTGTTCATTCCAGAACCATGTGGTAGCATGTGCCTCTAATACCAGAGCCTGAGAAGCTGATGCAGGGAAATTAATCCCAGATAGATGGAGACCTTTAATTTTGTTTTTACCTTTTGTGCCTCATGTTTTAGTCCTCTCTGTAATCTAGACCTGCAATCAAAATACAGTGTAATTTCAGGACAAAATACGGCATTGTACGATTCTGAGGCAAAGGGAGAATACATCTTTTACTTCATTGTATTTCCCCTTCATTTGAAGGCTAAGTGGTAGCTAGAAATAAAAATTCCTGGAAATTACCCTGTAGGAGAATCTTTTTCTTAATTTGTTTATTTTATTTTTGATTTATGTATATGGGTGTTTTGTCCAGATGTATGCACGCGTACTACCTGTGTACCTGGTATCTTAGGAGGCCAGAGGAGGGTGTTGGATCCTGTGGAACTGGAGTTATGGGTGGTCGTGAGCTACCATGTGTGTGCTGGGAATTGAACCATGGTTCTCTGCAACATGTTCTTTTAACTGATGAGCCCCTACCGGTGAATGATGAATCTTGAGTTATTCTTCATGCTCTTTGTAAAAGCAATAATTTCTGTTTGTATGGGGAGCAGCTTTTTACTGGTTAGAGTACAAGACTGGAATGTGGCTTATAAATCGGGATTTGTAGTCTTGACTTCATTTGATGTAACATTCCAATGGGATCTAGACATGTAGGATTGGAGAGAAGCTGTGAAGCTGTGCATTCCAGCAACAGGTTAGGGGAGGAGAGTAGCTGATCTAAATGGCGGTGACATCGTGTAGAGAAGAAGTAGAGCAAGGGAGTATTGGGATCCGTTAAAGGACCAAGAAAGGAGATGAAGTCATAAATAGTGTCTACGGTGGTTCTCAACCTTCCTAATGCTGCAACCCTTTAATACGGTTCCTCATGTGGGGTGATCCCCGGCCATTCAATTATTTCATTGTTACTTCATAACTATAATTTTGCTACTGTGGGAGCCCCTACCCACAACTTGTGAACCACTGCTCTAGACGAGCAACTGATAGAATGAATATATATTATATGTGTATGTGATATATGTGTACCACATGTGTGTATATGTATGCATATATATGTGTGATTTATTAGAGTGATTCACAGGCTGTGTCCAGCTTAGCCAGTAATGGCTGTCTCCCAGCAGAAAGTCTGAGAATCCAGTTCAGACCACAGGGCTGGATGTCTCAGCTGGTCTTCAGTATACATTGGAATCCTGAAGAAGTAGGATCTGTTTCCAGAGAAGCAAGAGTGGATCTTCCCACTTCAAAACATCTGGATTTAGGATGGGTCTTTCAACTTCATATAATTCAATCAATTAAAGTCCATCACAGGTGTATTAGCTCCTTAGGTTTTAGTTAATTCCAGATGTAGTCAAGTTAACAACCAAGAATAGCCATCACAAATAGCTTCTTGTATTGGTGGAATGTTATTATTTTTTTTTTGGCAGGAAGGGAAATTGGAAGTAGAGTCACATTGAGGGTAAGAATGTTGGGGACAGAACTAACCTATTTGCACTGATAGTGATGATGGAGGGGAAAATGTAAAGTTCGAAAGTGAGTTTTCTGGAGGTAGTATTGTAGGCTGGGACCATCTACTTATGAGGAAAAAAATTTGCATTCTTTAGGTTCTGAATAGCAAGTTCATCGGGAACTCAGACTCTGTCCAGTTTTATCAAACGGTTGAGAGTCATGATCTGTCCTCATATATTGATTGATAATAAATATAATGGAACTTTAAGATGCATTTTTAACTTCAAACTTTTCTATCCATTTCCCTCTCCCCTACTCCAGGTTTTCGAGACAGGGTTTCTCTGTATAACTCCTGGCTGTCCCAAAACACACTCTGTAGACCAGACCTACTTCTGCCTCCCAAGTGCTAGGGTTAAAGGTGTGAGCCACCACACCTGGCTAACATACATTTACTTCCTATTACCTTCTACATAGATAGAAATTGTATATTGCTGGGTGTTTTTCTCAGTTAATCAAAGCTCTTGTTTCCTAGATCTTTTTCTGCACCACCTCTCTAAGTTTTCTGTTCCTTTCTGTAATCAACTGGAACATGATACAGCTTTGCAGTATCTTCCCCTGCATATTTACTCTTGGACTGAGAATGAGTTCAAGAAAAATTAAAGATACACACTATGTTAATGCTAATATGTTTGGCTTATTTTTTCTCTTTTCTTGGAGAATGACTAATACAACTGATTTTGCTCACCTATGTGACATTCTACACTGTTGTAAAGCATCTTATCACTTCTGAGTTACTTCCCAACTTCTGTTGTATTAAAAAAATGGTTACATTTTATGTTAAAGAGTTAATATAAACTTCCCAATTTAATCCACCTTGATGTATCATTTTATGGCTTCCTCTTCTTGATTTGCCATCTTTTTTGCTTGCCAAACTTTGTTCTTACTCTTTGATTCTTTGTCAGAATGTGACCTGAATGAACTAATTAAATGGAATATTTTATAATCACATTGAATTTTTGTCTTTGATTTTTCTATTCCAGAATATTTTTCCTTTTTTGTTGTTGCTGTTTTTAAAACAAGATTTTACTATTTATTCCAGGCTGGCCTTGAACTCAAAGCAGTGCTCTTGCCTTAGCCTTCTTAGTGCTATAATGGCAGGCATGCCCTGTCACAAACCCAGCTGATGCTGATGTGATTTCACGTCCAGTAATATATGTTTATTTGAAATCATATTAAAGAGCACCTGTGATCTTTATAAAGACTGGTTCAAGTTGCTGGGGATGTAGCTCAGTTAGTAGAGAATGTAGGGAAGCCCTGTATTCAGTCCCTGGGTAGTGAATGGCAGAACAGAGGCAGGAGGATGGGAAGTTAAAGATTGTCCTCTACTGTATATTGAATTTGAGGCTAAAACACACACACACACACACACACACACACACACACACACACACACACAGAGAGAGAGAGAGAGAGACAGAGAGACAGACAGACAGACAGAGACAGACAGACAGAGACAGACAGAGAGAGACAGAGAGACAGAGAGAGACAGAGAGAGAGACAGAGACAGAGAGAGAGAGAGAGGGAGGGAGAGGCTAGTGTATACCAAGCAGAACTTACTGGTTTTAGTTGCCATGGCTCTTTCTAATGATTTGACAAGATTTCCTTGCATGAGACTGTTTTCTTTCTTTTAGTAGATCAGTATCAGTTATTACTTGGTCTAGAATTTGTTTCCTAACATGTGCTGTCATCTGAATTTTTACTTTCAATTCAATAATTGGATTAGCTTTCTGATTATAGTCTTATTTTTAATGCTTTGTTTAGCTTTTTACATACTTTTGTAATTTTTCTTGTTGTTAATAGCAACCCATTCCTTACTTTTAGCACCTTTGTCTTGTATTCCATTATAGAAATATTTGGAAAGTTTTGTTTTTGGTATTACTGAAAAGTTAACTTTCTTGATCAGATTGCCTTTCCGTGACCTCCCCAGCAAAGAATATTTAACTAGCACCCACTTTTCTTCCATACTGTTGTTTGTTTTTGGTTTTTCGAGACAGGGTTTCTCTGTATTGTCTTGGAGGCTGTCCTGGAACTCGCTCTGTAGACCAGGCTGGCCTTGAACTCACAAAGATCTGCCTGCCTCTGCCTCCCAGTGCTGGGATTAAAGGCGTGGGCCACCAACGCTCGGCTTGTTTTTTGTTTTACTTTTGATTTTCTTCTGGACGTGGCCATGCTGTGAACTGGAGATCCTCCTGCCTCAGCTTCCCGAGGGTGGGATTACTGACATGCAGCACCACACCCAGACATTTCCATTCCCATTTGAAGCAGTACTTCTGTAGCCACTTAAACAGTATAAACAGCTGTTTCTACTTGCAGTTAAGATTTCACCTGCTTTTATTTCCCATGTTCTTTGACTTACATATGTTTTTAGTTAACCAATTGTTAGGCTAGCAGTCTTCCCCCTAAAGGATAGGGCTACCAAATTTTACAATAGTTTTTATAATTCACAAAGTAACAATTGTACAGTGTCCAGTACAGAGGAGGTACAGGTCCAGTTCATAGATTCCAGAATTGTTAGACTTAGAAGGCTTGCCATAGCAGGCAGCATATTCACTGGTGTCCTCTTTTGTATCCTGCTCATGCCCTGGCCTCAAGAAAACACTCGTAATTTTAGAGTGTTATCCATAGCTTTGTCTGGTTGTTAAGTTTTAGACTCAGGTGTGTGAAATTGCAAGATTTTACGGTTTTAACTCTCTCTTTTTTTGGTTAAAGTAGTTCAAAATGTCAAAAATTAGGAGGAAGGTCACAGTGGAAAACACCAAGACCATATCTGAGAGTACGTCAAGAAGACCTAGTGTATTTGAGAGACTTGGACCCAGCACTGGCAGCACTGCAGAGGTGAGTTGTCACTACTGTGGACACAGGGAGCTTATTGGAAGGGACTAAGATGTGACTCACTGGCAGAGCCTTCATACAGCCTAACCTGTATGAAGAGGTCCAACCCCTGATCCTGTGTACTGGGGAAACATTTAAGATACTATTTTTGGGGGGGAGGGAGAATTTCAAGACAGGGATTATCTCTGTATTATTTTGGAGCCTGACCTGGAACTTGCTCTGTAGACTAGGCTGGCCTTGAACTCACAGAGATCCACCCGCCTCTGCCACCCCAGTGCTGGAACCTAAGGCATGTGCCACCAACATCCGGCTTGAAATACAGTTATTGAAATACTAATTGCTATTATAAAGGAAAATGGATTGTTTTGACGTGGGGTTGGTTTAGCAAATTTAACTTTAGAATAGAAATGAAAGAGGGGTTAAGGTTTGCAAACTTCTCATTGTTATGTAATGTTTTTGTTTGTTCTATTAAGACAGTGTATTTTGACCCTATCCATGCCCCATTGCAGGAACACCCCCACCTCCCCACACACACTTTCCTGTGGTTTATCCTTCCATTATGGTATTATTATTATTATTATTGGAGTAGCATGTGCTTAACTGGTATTTGGGTTGCTGATTTGATTTTTCCTGGTAGCATCTTTCCTTTAGACATTCACGTAGTAATGTCTGCCTCCTAGACACAGTGCCGTAACTGGCTGAAGACTGGCAGCTGCCTCTATGGAAACACTTGTCGTTTTGTGCATGGCCCTTCACCTCGTGGGAAAGGTTACAGCAGCAGTTACAGAAGGTAAACCAAGAATTCAAGCATTTTCTATAGTATTAAAAATTAACTCTTGCAACTGGGTGTAGAAATCTGAAATTGAACCATATGTCTGGTCAGATTTTCTGTTTTGGGGTAGTCTTAACAGTCAAGATCTTTTAGTTGTTACTTTTAAGATTAATAAAATGTTATCTTTAAAGTATACATGTTTGCATGCCTTGATAAAAGATTTTTTTCAAAATGTATATTCAAATCAGTGCACACCTGTAAGGAGACTGAGTCTGGCGATGAACAGTCCCTAAAACGTTCCCTATTTTATACTACCCCAATTTTGTATTAAATATCTGCTTAAGCAGAACTTGGAGGTGTGAGAATTTACTTTTAGTAAAGTTAGACTACTCATTCTTTTTTTTTTTTTTGGTTTTTCGAGACAGGGTTTCTCTGTGGCTTTGGAGGTTGTCCTGGAACTCGCTTGGTAGTCCAGGCTGGTCTCGAACTCACAAAGATCCACCTGCCTCTGCCTCCCGAGTGCTGGGATTAAAGGCGTGCGCCACCAACGCCCGGCTAGACTACTCATTCTTAATGCAGCAAAATTTAATAAGGTTTGATTGTAATTTTTTAAAGGCATTTTAAATTTGTATCTTCTGCAAGCAGTGTTGTAGAATCTACTTGCCAAACCTGTTAGACCACTGTGTTAATATAAATGTGTTTAGAGGCTGGAACAATAGACCAGTGGTTAAGAGCCCTGACTGCTCTTCTAGAAGACCTGGGTTTAGTTCCCATCACCCACGTGGTGTGTACCAACCATCTGTAGCTCTGTCTCAGGGGATCCAGGCACTAGGTATGCACATGGTGTACAGATACACTTGCAGACAAAACACCCATAACACATCAAGCAAACAAATAATTTTAAGTGTGTTTATTGTGGGTAAACATTGCCTATGCAGAACATAATTTTGTCTTTAACTTGACTTAAACTGAATTTGCATAACAAAGATCTTTTTAGTATTCCTTTGTCCCTTTATGATGATTTTGTAATACTCTTAAAGGCAATAGATAACAATATTTCTTACAGAAATAATTTAATCAGTAAACAGAATTTACCTAGTCCTGAAATTGTGCATGCTGATTGCTTTGTCTTGATGGCCATTGTCTTTCATTTTTAAGGTGTATGAAATATTTTCTTAATTGGTAATATATACAATTACATGTATATGTGGATGGGAATGCTATTGCCTCTGGAATATTTTTGCTACTTTATAACTTAACATTTCTATTATTACCCTTCATCTATAATGTGGCTGCTATATTTATGTGGTGAACAGGAAGTAGCTCAAACTGCTAAATTACATTAGTATTTATGAAGTTATTTATATTATTCTTATAAAACATCATTATTTATTGTTTTGTATCAAAGGTCACCGGAAAGACCTACAGGTGACCTCAGAGAAAGAATGAAGAATAAGCGTCAGGATGTGGACACTGAATCCCAGAAACGGAACACAGAGGAGTCCTCCTCACCTGTTAGGGTAGGCGTGAAATTTACAAACCCACTTAAATCCCAGTAGTCATTTAGTGGACAATTTTCCTTTTAAATATTAAGCGGTATGCTAAATATATGGTAAATCTATAATGACATATTACAATGTCCTGTGTGAATAAATGCAAATTTTTTGGGTTTGTTTTGTTTTATTTTATTTTTTTTCCAGACAGATTTCTCTGTGTAGTTCTGGCTGTCCTGGAACTTGCTTTATAGACCAGGCTGGTCTCGGAATAAATGTAATTTAAGGGATAGGGAAAAGTGTCCATTCTTCTGAGTACTTAAAAGGAACAGGGTTGACCAGAAGAGTTCAGGCTGAATGTTTTGTATCCTCCTGTAACTGATGAGTACCTCCATGCAGTATATAGTTTCAGAGTTCAGGTAGCTGCCTTAGTTTTTAAGAATGTATACAATTGCGTGGCTTTTCCTGTGGGCAGTTTTCATCCCTCTGTAAGGGAACTTCATGTCTTCTGGCAGTCATTCCTGTTGTCCCACTGACCATGAACCCTAGGCAGTTATGGATTCTTGTTTTATAAACTGTCTACCCTTTGCCCTTATACAATGTGTCACCTCTTGTGACTAGTTTCTTTCACCTAGTTTTTATGGAAAGTTATTAAGATGCGTTACTCTCTTGTCTTTGTGTATTAGTTTTCCATATATTGTTTCTTCACTTGTGACTATTTGGGCTCTTTCCACCCGACCCCCTCCCCAATGTGAATGAGAACATTCTCGTACAAGTTTTTGGTTAGCATGTGAGTTCATTTTTCCTGACTTAATCCTGGGAAACAGAATTGCTGAATATGTGGTCTCTTAGTTACTTTCCTGTTAGTGTGACAGAAACAACTGAAGGAAGGGTTTATTTTGGCTCAGAGTTTGAGAGGTCAGTGTGCATTGTGGCAGGGGTGTGTGGAGGTGGGAGCACAGGCCTTTTGTATCCACAGCCAGCAGGCAGAGAACAGTGAGTGCTGGGCTATGCCCCTTCCTTGTCATTCAGTTCAGGACCCTAGTCCATAGGATGGAGTCCCCCACTTCAGCTGGCCAGCTTAGAAACTCCCTCACAGAAAGCCCAGAGATGTGTTTCCAGGTCAGTATTAGCAGCCAGTGTGAAAAAGGCTTTCTCAGCCTTCCTAATGCTGTGGCCCTTTAACACAGTTCCTCATGCTGTGCTGATGCCTAGCCATTCAATTATTTTATTGCCCCTTCATAACTGTTAGAGTTGTAATATAAATAATCTAATCAACCCACAGATTGAGAACTACTATGCTAGACTATCAGATGGCAGTTGCATCCTTTTTACTTCTAGACAGTAGGATATGAAGGTTCTGATTTCCCCATATTTTTTTTCCAGCTCCTTATGTAATTGTGGTTTAACCTTGTGTCTCCCTAATAGCTAAGGATGTTAAACATTGTGTACATGATATTTGCAGATACTCTGCCCATTTTTAAAATTGGGCTGTCTTTATTGAGTTGTAAGAGTTCTTTATATTCTGAGTACAGGTAAAATATATTCTTTGAAGTTTCAAATTTCCCATTTTTTTAGTTAGTAATAATGTGAAATAGTTATATTTATATATCATCAAATTTCTAGGATGAATTATTTTGCTTTACCAGTGTTTAATACAAATCTGTATAATTTCTTTTAAGTTAAAAATAGCAAGAAATGTGATCACTGATCCTAAAATTTTGGTTTTATTTCTTTAGTTATTTTAATTCTGAAATAAGTTGAAGAAAACTTACTAGAATTAGCATACAATTCCTATATTTGCTTTCATTTTTAAGGTGCCTAAAACAAATTTTCTACCATTCTGTGCATTGTCATTCCTTTTTTTTTTTTTTCTAAGTCGGGACAGTGTCTTATTATGTGGCCTGGCCTGTGCTTACACCAGGCTCCTTGGCTCAGGTGATCTTGCCTGAGCCTCTCCAGCAGTTGCTACTACATTGGCTGTCAGTATCAGACACAGCTGTCTGTGTGTGTGTGTGTGTGTGTGTGTGTGTGTGTGTGTGTGTGTTTATGCGCGCGCGTGTGCTCGCGCATAACTGTGTACGTACTCATGTGGGCATGTGTGGAAGCCAGAGATTGAGATTGGGTTTCTTCCTCTGTCATTCTCCACTATATTTAAAAAACAAACAAACACAGTTTAAAAAACTGTTTAAACTTTCTTTCACACGTGTCTGTGCTTTAATCAGACCTCCTCCACCAGCTCCTCTTCTATATCTACCCACTTTCCACATAACCTTCCCTTCCCAACTTCTTGTGGTCTTTTTGTAACCCTACTAAGTCCACTTAGTTAGTGCTGCATGGCATTTCTACACCCTGGTTTTGAGACAGGGTTTCTCACTGAACCCAGAGCTCACCATTTTAGCTTGACTGGTTGGCCATTGAGCCCCTGGGATCCACCTACCTCTCTCTGGTTTCCGGTACTGGATTACAATTGCATGCCACTGTGCCCAGTATTTTCTTGGCTGCTAGAGATTAGAATTTATGTTTTTATGCTTGTCCATTAAGCACTGTATGAACCATCTCCCTAGCCCCTTGTCTTCAAATTCTTGATCGTGTTCTTTAAAAATCAAATGTTTTTTATTTTTATGAAATTCAGCTTACCTGTTTGTTTAATTTAATGTTGCTTTCTCTTTGGGAGTCATTTGACAAACTTTGATTATACAGAGTTGTAAAGATTTGTGACTGTTGTATATATTTCATATAAAATGTAAATAATAGGTCTGGAGAGATGGCTCAGAGGTTAAGAGTACTGCTGCTCTGGAAGGCTGCTCTTCCAGAGGTCCTGAATTCAATTGCCGGCAACCACATGGTGGCTTACAACCATCTGTAATGAGATCTGGTGCCCTCTTCTGGGGTGCAGGCATACATGCAGGCAGAACAATGTATACATGATAAAATCTTAAAAAAATAAAAATAAAGGTACCACCACAACTGGTAAATACTCTAAAATATGTAAATAATATCAAGAGTAAAATGTTCTAAAATATTAAAGAAATGAGTTCTGAACCTCCCCCTCTGTGTGTGTGTGTGTGTGTGTGTGTGTGTGTGTGTATGTGTGTGTGTCTCTGTGTCTGTGTCTGTGCACACATGTGTTCATGTGCGCCTGCATATATGCATCTGATCCTTAAAACTTAAGTCAGCTCTTATGAGTTCACATGACATGCATTGGGTAGATGGACTGTAATTAGTATAAGGTACAAGGATTTACAATGTGCATACAGTACCTTTAGGTATTGTTAGCTAAACTCTACTATCAGTTTCCTTGCCTATTAGGAATTGACTTTGTTGGTATGTTGTGATAAAGGGGTAGATTGGCCATTTTATGCTGACTCATTAATATAAAAATATAATGATTAAAATGGCTTTTCTGTTCTCTAAATCGACTTTAGTCTCTTACCAGAAATTAGGTGTGAGCATTGATGTATGTTGTTAACATACATCTAAATGTAAATACTGTTATAAAGGCTTATATGCTTTTAGGTAGCAAAGTTGGCTGTTAAGAAATTTTAAGTCTGGAACAAGAGACATGGCTTGGCAGCTAAGAGCATTGGCTGCTCTTCCAGAGGACCTGAGTACAATTCTCAGCAACCTCAAGATGCTCACCAATGTCTGTAACTCCTGTCTCAAAGGATTGGATGCCCTCTTCTGGCCTGTGAGAGCACCAGGCATGCAAGTGATGTACAGATATACATCCAGGCAAAACACTTATTCACATAAAATGAGGAAACCTTAAAAGAAAAACAAAGTTTGATTCCTGCTTTCCACGGATGAGGATGTCCTCAAAGACACTAAGCTTCATATTTACCTAAGGGATGAATTAATAAGTATTTCAAAGCTTAGAGAATTCACTGTTTAAGTAAACTTTAATTTGGTAGAATTTCAGGTTTGTGCGTATTTGGGTGTTTTGCGTGCGGATGAACAGGTTCTTTCATCTTTGACGTCCCCATCAACTTGTGGTGCTGATCTTCACAGTGGCTCCCTGTCGGAGATCAGACTGGTTTTAAGAAAGGGCAGCATCAAGAAATGGAAGAAGAAACAAACCAAAAAAGGCAGGAAATGGAAGAAGAAACAAAGCAAAAACTGCAAGAAATGGAAGAAAAAACAAAGCAAAAAATGAAAGAAATGGAAGAAGAAACAAAACCAAAAAAGGCAGGAAATGGAAGAAAAAACAAACCAAAAAATACAAGAACTGGAAGAAAAAGCATACCAAAAGATGCAAGAAATGGAAGAAAGAACAAACCAAAAAAATTCATAAAAGGCAACAAATGGAAGAAAAGATAAACCGAAAATTGCAAGAAACAATGCAAACAGTGTAAGGGTTGAAAACTGAAATAGAGACAATAAAAAAAAAAAACACAATCTGAAGAAAGGCAGGAAATAGAAAAGCTGGGCAAACGGTCAGGTACTACCAATACAAGCATTACCAACAGAATAGAAGAGATGGAAGAGAGAATCTCAGGTGTTGAAGATACACTAGGAGAATTGGATTCATCAACCAAAGAAAATCTTAAGTCCAACAAATCCTTAACATAAAACATCCAGGAAATATGGGATACCATGAAAAGACCAAACCTAAGAATAATAGGTATAGAAGAAGGAGAAGAAAACCACCTCAAAGGGGCAGAAAACATATTCAACAAAATCATAGAAGAAAACTTTCCCAATCTTAAGAAAGACATGCTGATGGGGGAAGTCCTGTACATTTGTCAATAAAGTACTGTTGAGCCAATAGAAATCTAGATAGGTGGGACTAGGAGTCCAGGAGGATTCTGGGAAGGAGAAACACAAGAGAGTCACCATGTAACGCCATGGGGTAGGAGCCCGGAACTATTCTCCGGTAGGAGACATACTTAGATTAACAATTATGGGGTAATTACTTAAAGCAGAGCTAGCCAGTAAAAGACAAGCAAGGCCAACAGCTTTATAATTAATACAGCATGTTGTGTGTTATTTGGGGACTACAACGTGGCAGAGCCCAGGCGACTGGC